CTATTTTTATGGGCAAAGGATAACATATTATGGTTTAGCAATTTCTTTTTTCTCTATTATTGATATTATACCTGGGTCTCTTCCTGAAGGCAATGGTGATCCACTGCTCCTAGACACGTAAGCTTGTTAAGTGAAAGCTTTTTCTATTTCATTCAAAATATTTTGAACCATTTGAATATAACGAAAATTGGCTAATCTAAACTGACTAGCGGTTGCAGGAGAGGTTTATCATAGCGTTTCCACGCGTGTTCTGGTTCTGATGCGTGATTGAGCGCCTTTAGCTAAGTGAGTCGATTAAAACTAGTGCAGTCAGCGTCATATAATGAGAACGTACAAACCTATTGATTTTGGGGATTTATTGACCACTACAGGTCTCTTCTATGTCCCCGAAATATCTGAGGTTAGTTTTGCGAACATTAGTTCGACAGTTGAGTTAAAACTACTTCCATATGGTTGAAATAATCCTAGAATTCGAGTCGACTATCGAAAGGATTGAAGAATGACTTCGTAAGCCCTATCTTCGAAAGGGGTATAAAACATAAACCTGAGAACTAGTGACTAGTAAGCATAATCAACGTGGTTGTTGAGATTTTACAAAAGGTCATTTGGAAAGAGTTGTTTAAGTCTCTTGACGAAAACTGTACCACTGAGCCGGTATCCAACAGTGTAGATGTTAAGCGTCCTCGAGCGAGACTGAAGGCCCTGGGTTCGAGCCCCACGAGTGGACTTGTGGATGCGTACTACTGAAAAGTTTCACAATAGGGCGAAATGACGGTCTTGTGCTTCCAGGCTTTCGACGGCGGTCTAACAGCAATTGGGTTACAAAAAAGCACTATCCATTTGCCTTCTTATGTCCGAACAACTCATCAGTAGAGCTGTAGAGCTTCATGGCCACGATAAGAGTATTTGTTTTTGAGTTATTTTGCTTGGAATAGCTCAGATACATTCACAAACTCTCTTCTCCATTGCCTTAAATCGCAGTGTGCCTTCATACGTGGCCTGCTGCTTCATTATTCTGGATCAAGTTCTGCAATGCCAGCCCTCTCGACCATTGTTGTCATTAAATTATCCAAATCTTTCATTTTCACTTCGTATTTTTAATCTGGTATAGTATCTTGAGCTAATAAATGTCCTTACCAAGTTCTACATTACTTGAACTGAATGACTGTAGGAATAGTTTCAGGACCGACCACATGATGTGGCGGCTTGTTGAGTGTACATCACAATTGCTACCCCATTGTTGTCACCGCCCTTATTCTTATCTGTTAATGACATCGTGAAGAACTATATACAGCTAGTAAACAATCATTGACATGTAAGAAAATACTAGCTACTAACTCACAACTCGGTGTATTGAATGACTGACTAAATCTAGTGATCATCTCAAGAAGTTTAGTTACAAGTCTTGCTGTTCTGTATTAAAAAGACTATATCTAGATATCCTGTTTCTGTTTAGATTTCTCAGACACTTGTTGTGAAACGGTCTTCACTCACTAGAGTCACTTGCGGATAGGCATTAAACAATCAACGGCTTGTCTGCAACTAAGCACTTGCGTTATTCTGTCTCGACGATTCTTCACTCTTCAAGTAAAACTCATGTTTAATTTGTTCTCGTTCACTATGTAGAGGTAAATAAATGGCTTTGTAACCTTTCAACATTGGATGCTGACCATATTAATCCTAATGGAAAAATTGAGTTGATAGCACTGAGTTGAAAAGGCTGTACTCAACAACCCATGCAATCGCTAACCACATTATATCAGTCGATCCATGATATATTGGTAGCCTATCAAACATATCTTCGAATCTCCTCGCTTCTGTCGTTTGATTTCACTTGGTGGGCACGATTCATATTAGAAGGTGTTACCGGTTAAAGCGTTGTTAAACTCCAAATACCTGTGGCATCTTCATTGGTGAGCCGATATGATTTGGTACACCAACTTGCAAACTGTGAGTCTGTTCTTTTTTGGAATTTCATATATCATTCATTTATTTTAACTTTTATATATTATGATATTTCTCTTTTCGTGTTTTTGGATATTTTTGCTTCCTCCTCCATTATTGTACTTCATATTTAGTCATGACGGAACAAACACCTAAGGTATTTAAGTTAGAGACTGTGACTCCATCTTCATTTTAACTAATGCCCTTTTGGCCAGAAAACATCGAAGCCTGGTTCTGCTACGCAGCAGCTGACTTCTACGAGCACGGTGTGAACGACGCACGTGCACAATTCCTTGCAGTAGCCAAGGCACTACCGCGCGAATTTAACAGGTACGTCACACCTAGTATGTTTACTAGTGATGTCCCGGAACCTTACGAAACTCCTAAACAATCTATTCCTAAATGCGGAGACCTAACCGATCGACAAAGGTTAGACCAACTCCTTAATAATATCGATCTGCAACACGGTTCAGCGACAGACATGTTGCAGAGAATGAGAGAGGTGATTGGCCAAAGAACTTCCGATGATGGCCTATTCAGACAACTTTTCTTGTCTAAACTTCCTCAACAAGTGCAAGCTGTGCTGGTCTCGTTTCAAAACAACGCCATAGACGAGCTAGCTGCATCTGCTGACCGCATTTTAGAGATCACCAAATCTTCTAACTCCGAGGTTTTTTCAGTCAAAGAAAAACCTCAAGGAATAAGTTCCTTATTTGTGGAGAATACTTTTCGTGCGGTGTCGTCCAGATTCATGGATTTCGCATTTCCACAAAGTTGATCGGTAAGAGGTTTCATGAGTAACGCGCATTTAGTTTGAATCGTCTATAGAAACATACAAGGCCGTTAAACGTTCGTAACTGCTTGATCGCGGTCGGTTCTGAGTAATCCAGAATGGCCGCCACTTTGGTTCAAAGGGGTCGAATTGCTTGAGCATCTATAGTGTGTCCTAGGAAGTCTAATGAGTCAGTTCCGATTTGGCATTTCTGGACATTTACAGTAATGCCATGTTTTTGTAGTTGTTCGAAAACAAGATCCAGATGCTTGAGATGCGATTCTCTGTCCGGACTTGCTATTGGGTAGTCGTCAACATACGCATGTACGAAGTTGAGACCTCGAAAAACGTCGTCTATGTATCTTTAAATGTTTGAGCAGCGTTTCTTAGACCGAAAGGCATTCGCAAAAATTCATAGAGTCCAAAGGGAGTAATGATGGTGGTTTTCGGTATGTCGTCTGTAGCCATGGGGATTTGGTTATACGCTTTAACCAAGTCGATTTTCGAAAAGACAGTTGTACCTTCCAAAGTAGCTGTCAAATCGTGAATGTGGGGCAACGGGTAACGATCGAGAATGGTTTTCGCATTCAATCGCCGATAGTCACCAGTCGCTGCTGTCCTTTATAGGGACCATGTGCAACGGAGATGCATATGGGCTATTTGACGGTCGTACGATTCGTAAGTCTATCATGTAGTCGAACTCATTTTTCGCCAACCTTAGCTTTTCGGGGGCTAGTCGTCGTGCTTTCGAGAATACAGGTGGTCCTGTAGTCATGATTTGATGTGTAACGTTGATGGTTACACACGGAAATTTCAGTTGTGATTGGTATATCCCAGAATACTTATCGAGTAATGGTTGATAGAATGGGTCTATCGTGTGCCTAAGTGTGACAGAAGATAATTTGCAACCGGACAAAGAAGTTACGCAAACAGGCAAATTGGTGTGTCCGTCTACTAGCCTCTGTTTGCGCGTATTTATGATTCGATTGTGATGTTGTAGGAGGTCTGTACCAATGATTGTCATAGAAATATCTACAGCAACAAAAATCCAGTGAATGGGTTTGAGTAAACCCACGTTAAGATAATTGTACCTTTTACCATAAGTAGCTATAGGCTTTCCGTTTGCCACCTGTAAGTTTAAAACAGATCCGCGAGGCCGGTCGTGAGAATTCGCTGGAAGAACGCTAACTTCTGCGCCAGTATCGACGAGATAACGAACTTTCCTTATCACACTTGTGACGTATAACAGACGGCTATGTTTGCCGGCTTGGAGGTTTCCCGAAACATTTTTCGTGTCGGTCGGTTTGGAGTTCGGATAATTGTATGGTCTTCTGTGATTTCTAGAAGATTTTCCGTACTGGTTATGATACCAACACCAGTCGGGGTTACCAGTCTCTCGTGGTCTAGAGACAGATCGCCTACGTGGACTGCGTAACCGTTTACGACCATTACGAAATCGAAGGTAACGTGTCAGCGAATGACATAGTTCTGCAATGTCATTTTGGGTCGTTTGAGGTTTTTCTTTGACTGAAAAAACCTCGGAGTTAGAAGATTTGATGATCTCTAAAATGCGGTCAGCAGATGCAGCTAGCTCGTCTATGGCGTTGTTTTGAAACGAGACCAGCACAGCTTGCACTTGTTGAGGAAGTTTAGACAAGAAAAGTTGTCTGAATAGGCCATCATCGGAAGTTCTTTGGCCAATCACCTCTCTCATTCTCTGCAACATGTCTGTCGCTGAACCGTGTTGCAGATCGATATTATTAAGGAGTTGGTCTAACCTTTGTCGATCGGTTAGGTCTCCGCATTTAGGAATAGATTGTTTAGAAGTTTCGTAAGGTTCCGGGACATCACTAGTAAACATACTAGGTGTGACGTACCTGTTAAATTCGCGCGGTAGTGCCTTGTCTACTGCAAGGAATTGTGCACGTGCGTCGTTCACGCCGTGCTCGTAGAAGTCAGCTGCTGCGTAGCAGAACCAGGCTTCGATGTTTTCCGGCCAAAAGGCCATTAGTTGAAATGAAGGTGGAGTCACAGTCTCTAACTTAAATACCTTAGATGTTTGTTCCGTCATGACTAAACATGAAGTACAATAATGGAGGAGGAAGCAAAAATATCCAAAAACACGAAAAGAGAAATATCATAATATATAAAAGTTAAAATAAATGAATGATATATGAAATTCCAAAAAAGAACAGACTCACAGTTTGCAAGTTGGTGTACCAAATCATATCGGCTCACCAATGAAGATGCCACAGGTATTTGGAGTTTAACAGCGCTTTAACCGGTAACACCTTCTAATATGAATCGTGCCCACCAAGTGAAATCAAACGACAAAAGCGAGGAGGTTTGAAATATAATTGATAGTGTTTAAAAATGTTTTGATCTTGTTCACTTTCGACTCTAGATTTCAGTAGGTTGGCACGATTCATGGTAGTTGCTACTGGGTGACGCGTTGTCAAGCTTCTTATTCTGTAACGATGTTCACCTATATCGCGTAAGACTACTCAGACTAGAATATCTGGTGACCCAATTTTGTTTATTTCCCAGTCGTAATCCGCATTCCGGTTTTCAAGTTATCCGGTGACTTTGAAGACGTTTTAGCTCTGTCTATAAGTTTACTTGAATTTATCTTGTATGACCTACGAATGATATCCGGCTCCATTTCTCTGTAGAATGCTTATCTCGTGTTTGAGGGTATCCTTATCATGTTTAAACTCGTCTTCTTAGTCCTTGTTTGTGGATTTCGACTCGCAGAAAGTTGTGTTACTTATATACTGTTTTGGTCCATGTACACAACTTTTCATTCCTAAAGCGTTGTTTATACTTTTCCTAAAGTAATAACGTCAACTCCCTAACAAGCTTAACCGAAATCACAATTTTCTAAAATTTGGTTTATCATTACACTACATGGTAGGTCAATAACGTCTACTGTTAATTTTTTGTACGGCAACATATGCTCTTCAATCAGCATAAGTTTCACCAACTGCTGGACTCGCAAACAGTAGTGTTAACTAGTATATTCCTCTTTCATCACATTAATTGATGAAGTATCTAGTGATATGATAATTTTTAATCATTATAACTATTCTTTAGGATAAAGCACCAAAGACTTGATTGGACTGTGGGTTTGATAAAGTTACAGCGAATGACGTATTAGGCTTTGCCTAGGAACTGTGATCGTTCTTGAAAATCAAAAGTGAAGAACGACGAATCTCTCTGATCTTTAGTACCCTGTCAGGAAGTGTAAACGTATCAATATCAACTATATAATTATTTAGAGTTACAAAATGTTGTCGTATTACGGAATCAAGTTCCATGTGTATTTCTTATTTGCTTGATTGGTATTCAGACATTCATAAAATTTCTCAGTGACTCTATATCTCATTTTGAAGTGACATAGCTCATCAAACTGATGTTTTGATTTCATAACAAAACTAATTTCTGTCTTAAATATCCATAGGTTTCTTTGCATTTACCCATCATCTAATTAAACTATAAAAAGGAATGGATACTAAGGAATTGGAGAATTTTTTTAGCGATCCTATGGTTTCAGCTCATATTGAATCATTCATGGATGCTCATTGTTCTAGTAATTATAAAACTTGATCAAATACACTTTTAACATTATAATAATAACAGTATTTACATGTGAAAAAGAAATTCATTCTGAACATTATGCAACACACAAAGAATTTTCAGAAATGGTAAGTAGAAATAGACAATATTCTTTATTTCACAATCCTTTCTTAGATAGATCTTCATTTAATGAACTAGTTATGGATACATAGTTATTGACTAACACTACTTTTTATCTCTTTCAAATGTATGTTATGGTTGGATATACATCACAAGAGGCTAGATAAACCACAACTGGGTATAGGAAATATGAGATCTGGTTCAAAGCTGACTCAGGCCAAGTTACCACACTATCGGCAATACGAAAGTGGATAGCAGTGTTGTTGAATTAGAGATTTCATGTAGAGGAAATAATTTTAAAAGATAATCAGTTTGCGACATTAGAAGTATGAGGGTTTCGAAACCGACCATGTGAACTATGAAAAATGAATACATCTGCTCTACTGCAGCTGATCTCGAACTATTTCACCAGTCTTCAACTATTGATCACGATTATGGCACTGGCCGCAATGTAGTAGCTTGTACCTAGCAAAATGACTCAGACCAACAATCAATGATTTAATAACCTGTTCGGTGGTTTGGTTGCTTCTGACTTTTCTCCAAACACGGTGCGTTTAGAATTATTCGCTTGACTGCTCTATCATTCGTGACAAATACTTTAAAAACCTCTATGGTCGTATAGCAATAACCTTCAGATTTCATCCATTTTCAAAAGAGGCAATAAAAAGCGAACTGTTTGAAAATATACCTATCCTTTGATAGGTAAACGAATGCTTATTCGACGTCACAGGCACATCAGATTTGCAAATCAAAAACGTTTTTTGTATTTGTGCTTAGATTTTCCGAACTACTAACTCATCAGGTCCTATAGTACGTCTAAAATAAATGAATTAATCTGTGTATTCAACTGCTTTGGTTCTTAGCGTTAGAACAGGTTAAGAGGTAAATCACACATTCAATTTCACCTCTCGTTTGCAGAAGAAATTCGGAAAAAATCGAGATTGTTTCTATCAGTGGAGTATTTTTTTTACTAATATAATTCTAGTCTGGTCTTGCACAAGTCGAAAGCAGTTTTTAGAATTTCATTTTTTATAATCGCCATCTGCTTAGTACTGACCAGTGTTGATATGAACTTCCTGGCGTCCTAATAGGAATCTTTAGCATATTGAGTTCATCACTTTCAAAATAAAAGTTATTTACTTTTCATAATTATGTTTGAAAAATTACACCATTCTCCTAGTCGTTTTATTTCTGGCATATGTAAATAAAAACCTTAGAAGTAAAAACTTGACCTAATGGATACATGAATTTCCTTTAGTTATATTTCCTTATAAAAATGTTTTGAGAACAAAAACCATTGTGAAACAAATTGTTTCTTCATCGCAAATCTGATTATTTGTTAATAAACACAAGTTAACTTCCGTATCTATGAGTAGTAATTTTTGTGGCTACTATAAATAATAAAGCATTGTTGTTGCCGAGGTTACGTAATAATCTAGGGTAGTAGAAGTCTTGTGTGTATTTAGCAGTATATGTACTAAGTTTTGCATTGAAATTGCATAACAGTTGTAATATTTGACTTCGGGCCACTCACTCTAGATGTGGGGTCTCGCAAAGCTACCTGGTTGCCGTAACCAAGCTAGATGGATTGAGATTCGAACCTGCAACGTAGCAGCTGAAATCTGTACGCTTTAACAAATAAGCTACCAGTTCACAGTTGAGCTATACCATTATATCAATATTAGACATCATTTTGTTTAAATCTTATTCTTTAGATGAAAAGTCTATTAAATAGCTCATCAATTCATTACAATCAAATTCAGGAAATGTATACAACTTATAAAATAACTGAAGATGATCCTTCTTTTAGTTCAATCTCTTATATAATTGCATTATGGAATTTTGAATTATTTTATCAATTAATGACTTTGGTAAATGTTGATTTACAATTAGAAGCATTACATTATATTCAACAGAAGTACGGTAATCAATTCATGTATGTATACATTTTAAATAATTTCTTTTATCTGAAGATAATATGTATCATGATCTTTCTTATTAGCATTGCTGCTAAATTTATTTAGATTCATTTAAGACAATTAGTCCCTTTGATAAATTTCCATAATGCAAGACGAAGAGGACGAAGTTTATCAGGATTATGTGATGATATAATTGCGTAATACATTTCCAAATCAATCTGATCACACATTATGTACTTGTTAAGAACATTTATATATGAAAATTAAAAGGTCAACTAGACAGATTAAAGGTAAGTCATAACAAAGAACACATACCAAAATGGCTGTATAAACAATTGAATTTCGACGGTCAAATAAGATCACAGTATAGGCAGACATCATCATCCATTGTGAAACATTTGATTGAGACTGGTCATAAGGTTGATATCAATTCAGCATTTATAGTATTATACAAAAGCCTTCAAGGACATAGGGAAGAGTAATCGAACACTGCAATCAAAGTTCAATGAACATGTGCCTAGTTGGCTTCAAAATCAGTGTATGTCAAATGATCCGATCAATGTGTGAGTTAGAAAACCAGGTTCACCGATAGCGAAACATATAATTGAAACGGGGCACAAAATTAACATTAATACAGCTTTTAGAACGTTGTACAGAAATTGTCAAGGACGAATTCTTAAGTTTATTGGAGCCTTGGCTATTCGTAAATTTATGCCCCCCTTATGTGTACAAAAACAATTTGTCGTAACCTTGAATTTACCTTGATAATCCTTAAGTCATTTTATGGCCTAGGATAACACGACAATTTCTTATTCTTTCTCCCCCCCCCCTTTTGTTATTTGACTTGAACTTTTATTTAATTAGAACAACACATGTAAGCGAGCAATGTTGTTTTCAATTGGATCGTCATCAGGCTTTACTCTAATATACACGAATATTTATACGAAAATGTTAAACCAATCAAGGCGATGTGGGTCAATAATCACTATGACATAGAATTAGTCTCTACACATAATAGGTAAAAGTACAAGTTGATGGTAGTCGGAAGACAGGTGAACTGATAATAGTGAGAATAATAAAATACAATAACTCAAACGTGGGTAAATAGACTAGGCATAGTAATCACAAAACATCAAAATCATTACGTAATAAGATGTGTGTAAATAATTAGATAGTGAAGAATACAAAGAGGCGGAAAATTACAAACAAATACTAGATGTGGAAATAAGGTTAACGATAACACAAATACAATAAAATGAATAATAATAATAATAAAATTTAAAAAAAATTATCAGAATGGGTTTTGTGGAGATTTTAAAAAATTGTTAGTTAAGTTATAACTGGCCATGGAAGGGATAGGGGAGTCACGTATTTCTTCTGTACACATCAATTGGGGTAATATGTACGAATTCCAATGGTTTCAGCTATATGTAGGAGGCAGGAACGAACTCCGTCAGGAAATGATGGAGGTATACGATAGATAACTCGAAATGATTTCGATTTATCTACAGCATGACCGCTATCAATGAGATGTGCCAATATAGAACTGAGAATAGATTTTATCTGGCCCTTTATGTACCAAGTTGGTAGATGTTCACTCATTCGTTGGTTAAGTTGCCTGGTAGTACACCCTATATAGCTATCTCCACAGGAGCAGCTGAATTTGTAAATGCACATAGAAGAGGCCAACTCAGGTAACTTATCCTTCGTTTGAGTAGACATCGCTGGTCAACAAGAGAAGGTCAACGCAAGATTGGCTGCGTAGAATGTCCTGGTGATTACTTTGGTTACTATTATCAGTTCACCTGTCTTCCTACTACTATGAATAATATTGTCCGACCGGCCATTTTTTTAAAAAAAAAATTTTCCAACCCCAAATTACAATATTTTTCATCCCGTGTTTCGTCCAATGAAATGGCTAGTTCCAAAAATTAGATTTAATTGGTTAGTTATGTCTTGAAAATTGTTATAAATTATCAGTACTTGTCGACGAAGCACAATCTCAATCGTCATTATGGAGCAGAGTAACGTGCCGAGTACGAGCGCTGGTGTTTCTCACGTAACGGAAATGGAGGAAGTCTTTTTGACTACCTTGTTTCTGGTTGCGTTTCCATCGGTTGAAGCGTTAAAGACCACTATCACAAATTTTGAAAGATCGACTTACAGTCATTATGTAATGAGAGATTCGCATATTGGCAGAGATCAAAAATCCTACATTAAATTTGTGTGTTGGCGAAATGGGCGTATAAGATCTAGCGGTTCGTCACAACGTATTAGACGGAGGAGGTAATTTGGTAAATTGTTTTATAATTTTTTTTTAATGAAGGGCTTCTATGAACACCCAATGTCCAGCATTTATGTTTTGTAAGATTATAGACGGCTATTGGACTGTTGTACGTGGGAATGTACATCACAATCACGAGTGCAATTCCCTGAGGTACCAGGGTAATTCATGGATGCGCAGGTTAACGGATGGGGAGTTTGAAACTGTGAGACCGCTGCTGATTTCCGGTACCGCTGCATTCCACATCAGGAATTTTGCTTACCAATCTTATGGGAAATGTCTGACCGCTCAAGATGTCTGCAATATGCGGTACAAAGTGTTCTCACACGCGAACCTTCCTGGTACGGAATTTGCCAATTTATAATGTACACTATAGGTGATTACGGGAAATTGAAAGCTCACATAACATCCTTGGGTGGGCTTTGCGAATACGAATTGGACGATGAGAACTGTCTATCGTATTTCTTCTTCATGACTGCTGAGCAAGTGAATTTGGCCGGTCACTTTTGTGACGTAATTGGTTTTGACGGGACGTACAAAACTAATAACGAGAACGTCCATTTATATCAAGTCGTTGCCATGGATATGAATTTTAAGGCAATACCCATGTGCATTGCCTTTTTAAGTCGCGAAACGTCGGCCTTGATTTCTCGATTCCTCTTCTTTTTCCAACGGTGTACCAACAGTCGACAACTGGTAGGCATTGTGACCGATGATTCACCTGCAATTGCTGCTGCTATTACGCAGGTGTATCCGGATGCACACCATATTCTGTGTCGCGTACACCTTGTTCGGAATGTGATAAAGAGGGTAAGTGTTTCGTTCATTAACATTAACCCAGTAACCGTTATTGTAGAGGGTGCGATCAGAAATTGTACAACTGTTCTTTCGCCTCATGTTCACTCGAACGGTTGAAAGGTAAATCAAAATCTACATAACATGATTTTGTAGTTTTAACAACGTACTTTCGTTAATCGAAATGTCGGACGGAACATTTGGCAGATACGTCAGAGACCACCTTCTACCACGGAAACACAAATGGTCCACTGCTTTTCGACCGCCATCCACTCTCTTTGAACTGAATAATACGAACTTCGTCGAGACCAGCCACCGAGTCTTGAAGATGTATCACCTTAATCGAAAAACACCGGTTCTCAGATCCATTTTCAATGTGCTGCTTCGTACTGGATATTGGATGGAAGCAAGATTACATAAATATTCAATGGATTGTCGGGGGAAAGCCGGTATTGGTGAGGAGCCGGAAGTACGTCGACTTCAGGAACGACTGACACCAGTTGCCTGTCAACTACTGAAGCGACACCTTCGCATTCCTATAACGCAGTCTGCATTGACGGAAGATTTATTCACCGCTATGGACGCCACGGGGACGTACTACGTACACGTCGATACTAGCCGGTGCTCGTGTCCATTCTTCATTGAAAACGGTTACCATGCCGTCACATATTGGCTTACTGCACACACAGTAACACCGATGTGAACGTACAGTCAATTTGTGACAGGTGGTTACACTATGATGGTTATCTGACTCATATTGCAGTTGAAAATTATTTCCCAATGCAATTGAGTCAGCCAAGCATGAAGAATGCAGTGATAGCGTTAATCAGGCGAATGTCGGAGGAACAATGCAGTTCACTTCATGACTTCATAGTTCATGGTAGACTACCAACAACGCCAGCAAACTTGCATGGAGAACAGCATTCGTACACCCTTTCAAGAACCTTGACTAACGTAGCAGTGCCGTTTATACAACGAGGAACTGTTGATTTGGATGAAACGCTCAGTAACGATGAGGAGGAAGTAATTTCTATTAACTCCGAAGAGTTAACTGAACGGGACATCGAAAATGAAGAAGAGGATGACGAGAATCGACTCTGCGACATCTGTAATCTTGCGCAGCCTCCGTGTGAAACCGGTGATGCGGTTGGTTGGGTTTCCTGTAGATGTGAAGCAATGTTTCATACCTTCTGTGCCTACGACCCATCGCCGAACATACGAGCAGTGCTCTGTTCTATCTGTGGCGCCATTACAAACTAATAGTGATGACTGTACGTTCACTTCGGTGTTACTGTGTATGCAGTAAGCCAATATGTGACGGCATGGTAACCGTTTTCAATGAAGAATGGACACGAGCACCGGCTAGTATCGACGTGTACGTAGTACGTCCCCGTGGCGTCCATAGCGGTGAATAAATCTTCCGTCAATGCAGACTGCGTTATAGGAATGCGAAGGTGTCGCTTCAGTAGTTGACAGGCAACTGGTGTCAGTCGTTCCTGAAGTCGACGTACTTCCGGCTCCTCACCAATACCGGCTTTCCCCCGACAATCCATTGAATATTTATGTAATCTTGCTTCCATCCAATATCCAGTACGAAGCAGCACATTGAAAATGGATCTGAGAACCGGTGTTTTTCGATTAAGGTGATACATCTTCAAGACTCGGTGGCTGGTCTCGACGAAGTTCGTATTATTCAGTTCAAAGAGAGTGGATGGCGGTCGAAAAGCAGTGGACCATTTGTGTTTCCGTGGTAGAAGGTGGTCTCTGACGTATCTGCCAAATGTTCCGTCCGACATTTCGATTAACGAAAGTACGTTGTTAAAACTACAAAATCATGTTATGTAGATTTTGATTTACCTTTCAACCGTTCGAGTGAACATGAGGCGAAAGAACAGTTGTACAATTTCTGATCGCACCCTCTACAATAACGGTTACTGGGTTAATGTTAATGAACGAAACACTTACCCTCTTTATCACATTCCGAACAAGGTGTACGCGACACAGAATATGGTGTGCATCCGGATACACCTGCGTAATAGCAGCAGCAATTGCAGGTGAATCATCGGTCACAATGCCTACCAGTTGTCGACTGTTGGTACACCGTTGGAAAAAGAAGAGGAATCGAGAAATCAAGGCCGACGTTTCGCGACTTAAAAAGGCAATGCACATGGGTATTGCCTTAAAATTCATATCCATGGCAACGACTTGATATAAATGGACGTTCTCGTTATTAGTTTTGTACGTCCCGTCAAAACCAATTACGTCACAAAAGTGACCGGCCAAATTCACTTGCTCAGCAGTCATGAAGAAGAAATACGATAGACAGTTCTCATCGTCCAATTCGTATTCGCAAAGCCCACCCAAGGATGTTATGTGAGCTTTCAATTTCCCGTAATCACCTATAGTGTACATTATAAATTGGCAAATTCCGTACCAGGAAGGTTCGCGTGTGAGAACACTTTGTACCGCATATTGCAGACATCTTGAGCGGTCAGACATTTCCCATAAGATTGGTAAGCAAAATTCCTGATGTGGAATGCAGCGGTACCGGAAATCAGCAGCGGTCTCACAGTTTCAAACTCCCCATCCGTTAACCTGCGCATCCATGAATTACCCTGGTACCTCAGGGAATTGCACTCGTGATTGTGATGTACATTCCCACGTACAACAGTCCAATAGCCGTCTATAATCTTACAAAACATAAATGCTGGACATTGGGTGTTCATAGAAGCCCTTCATTAAAAAAAAATTATAAAACAATTTACCAAATTACCTCCTCCGTCTAATACGTTGTGACGAACCGCTAGATCTTATACGCCCATTTCGCCAACACACAAATTTAATGTAGGATTTTTGATCTCTGCCAATATGCGAATCTCTCATTACATAATGACTGTAAGTCGATCTTTCAAAATTTGTGATAGTGGTCTTTAACGCTTCAACCGATGGAAACGCAACCAGAAACAAGGTAGTCAAAAAGACTTCCTCCATTTCCGTTACGTGAGAAACACCAGCGCTCGTACTCGGCACGTTACTCTGCTCCATAATGACGATTGAGATTGTGCTTCGTCGACAAGTACTGATAATTTATAACAATTTTCAAGACATAACTAACCAATTAAATCTAATTTTTGGAACTAGCCATTTCATTGGACGAAACACGGGATGAAAAATATTGTAATTTGGGGTTGGAAAATTTTTTTTTTAAAAAAATGGCCGGTCGGACAATATTATTCATAGTAGTAGGAAGACAGGTGAACTGATAATAGTAACCAAAGTAATCACCAGGACATTCTACGCAGCCAATCTTGCGTTGACCTTCTCTTGTTGACCAGCGATGTCTACTCAAACGAAGGATAAGTTACCTGAGTTGGCCTCTTCTATGTGCATTTACAAATTCAGCTGCTCCTGTGGAGATAGCTATATAGGGTGTACTACCAGGCAACTTAACCAACGAATGAGTGAACATCTACCAACTTGGTACATAAAGGGCCAGATAAAATCTATTCTCAGTTCTATATTGGCACATCTCATTGATAGCGGTCATGCTGTAGATAAATCGAAATCATTTCGAGTTATCTATCGTATACCTCCATCATTTCCTGACGGAGTTCGTTCCTGCCTCCTACATATAGCTGAAACCATTGGAATTCGTACATATTACCCCAATTGATGTGTACAGAAGAAATACGTGACTCCCCTATCCCTTCCATGGCCAGTTATAACTTAACTAACAATTTTTTAAAATCTCCACAAAACCCATTCTGATAATTTTTTTTAAATTTTATTATTATTATTATTCATTTTATTGTATTTGTGTTATCGTTAACCTTATTTCCACATCTAGTATTTGTTTGTAATTTTCCGCCTCTTTGTATTCTTCACTATCTAATTATTTACACACATCTTATTACGTAATGATTTTGATGTTTTGTGATTACTATGCCTAGTCTATTTACCCACGTTTGATCTTCTATTTCCAACGTTTAATTATTGGTGATAAGAGTTTTGTTATTTTATTTTATTATTCTCACTATTATCAGTTCACCTGTCTTCCGATTACCATCAACTTGTACTTTTACCTATTATGTGTAGAGACTTATTCTATTTCATAGTGATTATTGACCCATATTGCCTTGATTGGTTTAACATTTTCGTATAAATATTCGTGTATATTAGAGTAAAGCCTGATGACGATCTAATTGAAAACAATATTGCTCGCTTATATGTGTTATTCTAATTTTCACAATGGGAATCTTTAATATTTTATTTAATTGACCTTTATTAATTTTCATATAAAAATGCCTTGACAAGTATATGTGTGACCAGATTGTTCGAAATGTATTACGCAAACATATGATCACATAATTCTGATAAACTTCGATTCATTTACTATTCGATCCTGCTAATTTCATCTTTTCACACTAATTTGGTATGTTGACTTGAACCAACGCATATTTGTACAAGAATTTACGTTGATAATACATGGGAGACGGATAACAATTGGAGATAGTAACTCACTGAAGACAGTGGTGGGTGTGTCGCTCGATTTCGTGGATCAGTTGAAGTTAGACGTTAACACCGTTGGATGCCGGCTCAGTGGTCTAGTGGTCAGGTGATCGCGTGTGAAATCAGTAGGTCTTGGGTTCGAATCTCGCAGGGGGCGAATGCGCACTGCTGAGGAGTCCCACAATAGAACGAAACGGCCGTCCAGTGCTTTCAGGTTTCCTATGGTGGTCTAGCTTCAAATGACTCATGATCTTAACCATTGAAAGAACCATTTATATTTAGAGAGCTTTGAAAAAAATCTCATATGAAATTAACAATCCTTATCATTTCTATAGCACAGTATGTCACATGAAATTAAATCCATGAGTTTTAGGTAGTTTATCAAGATTTTTATACTTGACTATGAACCATACTATTAGTTCATGGGCAGGCCAGACTATATACGGTATAATAGTTGCCTAATTCTCTCTGATTCTCATCTGTTCTTTATTTTGTTTTAATCGATAATGAACACTTTTCATGTATAACATATCTGTAAAAAAAACGAACCTATCTAAGCTATCTTGCCGTTTTGAATAAATGATCGTTTTATAGTATTTATCATAACTAATTTCATTGTTACGATTAATTGCTGAAACCATATGCACACTTATTACAATTCATATTCAGTTTTTATTTAATAATTATAATTGCCCATTATTGATTAATAAATTCTATCGGTTCTTATTTTTCTTTCTTTATAGACAAACGTATTCAAACAACAATAATCATGATTCCTTGGGTAATAATTCTACTGAAATAAATAAAAATGAACTAACTGATATGTTGTTAGAAAAATCTCAACAGAAAAATGGAATGGTGAAGGTAATTTGACCGAAATCTCTCTCTCTGTGTGTGTGTGTGTAGGAGATCAATACCAAGAGTTAAATCTTGATATTTACAAGTAAACTAAACATTGGGTAGAATGTTAGTTATAAAATAATGATGTATTCGTGATAAATTAGAAATTTGTATTTCCAACATTTCGTGACTTAGTGTAGGCCAATTCTTCAGAGAATAAATATAAATAACCACATTAAATTAATATTAGTTTAAATAGAATATACTGTTTATTCTTCTTTATTGTTTGAACTGGTATTAATATAATCAGGTTGTTTGTTTTTCTTCTCTGAAGAGGTGACTTACAATAAGTCACGAAACATCAATAATTCAAATTTCTATTCATTAATTGATCACAAATACATCATTATTTTATTATTGTACGTTTTGTTTGTATTGTTCTTCTTATTCTTTTCTTTAAATCAACTTTCTAGACAATCAAAGAAACAATTCAAAGTGAACTTTGTAAAAATCAACATAATCAGAACGATGGACAATTATTAATAGAGGCAAGCTTTTAATTATATGCAAATTCTGTTTTCCTCTCATGTATATATATATATATATATATATATATATATATATATATATATATATACACCGTTTTTCGAACATTTACGCATTTTTGACTCTCCTGGCCTTTAGGAATCTTTTATCAAAAGATTAAACAGTTTTATAGTAAGTAATAATATGCTCAAATTAAAAAACCCACTTTTAAGATGATAAATCCAACAACATTGGTTGATTTTCAACACAGACAATTTTAATAGTGACCACGTCAGTATGGCTGAACAAATAAAAATTGTGCCAATGAAATAGAGGGAAGAAAATTGTATGATAATAATCTTTTTACGAAGTTGCGCCACTGTACACCATTGTCTTCAGTGAGCTGATATCTCACAACAGATGCGCACTGCTGAGGAGTCTCATACTAGGACGAAACGGCCTTCCAGGTTTTCCATGGTGGTCTAGTTTCAATTGACTCATGATTTCAACCTGTGAAATTTCTAAAAATCTCCACAAAACCCATTCTGATAATAATCTTTTTACTCAAGAGTAAGATAATAGCAATTAACAAATTTCACAGGTAGTCATTATTATAGTTTGTGGTGCTATTGAAAATCAAGAAGTATTGGATAACTGTTTCATCCTAGTATAGGATTGCTCAGCATTTCGTATTGTTGCTTAAAATATGTGTTTAAAAATATGTATTTTCAAAATTTTCATAGGTCATGCGTTTTTATCAGTAGTCGATTTAAATCAGATATGAGATTGTGGGTTGTGACATTGGATAGATGAATGATTTGCTTGATTACAGTAGGCCACACGTTTTCATTTTGTTTATGAAGCTACCATGAGATGTGTAATCAGTTTGACTGTACTCCGTAAACCATAGACACCTACAACCATACACAGGATCAATCTAGTAGTTTTCGAGTCATGAAGTCAGCAGTTTTGCCAGCGGTTGGTTTGCCAAGTTATATTTTTATATAGTATAATTTATTTTCTGGAGTAGACTAGTCGTTTCAGCCTTAAATAGCTGAATGGTTTCTTTTTTAAAATGACACTTAGGCCATTTAGTCTTATATGTGATTCATAGACATGCTCTCATCTTGAGTTATTTAGAAAGGAATCTAATCAATTAACCAGTTGTTTAATCTGGTTTCTCATATCAATTTACTTACCCTTAGCAGCTTAATTGTGTAAGGATTATTCTTTAGATTTATCTCATCAATCAGAAGTAAGTTACTTAATAGGTATTGTTATAAAATAGTTTTTAATTGAAAAATAAATTTAACGCATATATGGATAAATCTATTCCAACAATTCTACTGTTTAGTAGTTGAATTCATGAGTCATTTGAAGCTAGACCACCATGGAAAACTTCGAAGCAATGGAGGGTCGTTTCGTCTTATTATGGGACTCCGCTCGTAGCTCTTCTAGAGCTACTGTCGGGCCCAAGCCCGGGTAAAGGAGGAGGGTTGGGCATGGGGTTAGCGACCCCATCCCGTAGAAAAATAACTTGTTAAAAAAACGCTTACCAAAAAAAAACAATTCAGACCAGTCAAACTCTGCCTTGGGAGTTAGAAGGTCTTTATTTAGAGGAAATATCAGTCAGTCAGCTACAACGTAGGACCAGGCACATATGTGCATCGGTCCAGGTTGCCATACCGCGTCAGCACAACAAGATGAACACCGGATTCATAGCAGCGGTTAGGTTAGAAGAAATATGACACCTCATGGTAAAAGGCGAGTTTCTTCGGAAGCCACGAGGCCGATGCCCCTTCTAACAACCAGAGCAACAATTTTTATAGGTACATGGGACACCAGAAAGACCAGTCAAGTAACAACGGAACTGAGAAGATACAACTTGGCTGTACTGGGAATCAGCGAAACCCATTGGACCCAAGCTGGACAACAAAGGCTAAATACGGAAGAGATGCTGCTATACTTCGGCCACGAAGAGGAAAATGCTCCACACACCCAGGTAGTTGCTCTAATGCTGTCCAAAGTAGCACGAAATGCACTTGTATGATGGGAATCTCAGGGATCCAAAATCATCAAAGTATTATTCAAAACAAAGAAGGAGGGATCACAATGAGTATTATCCAATGTTATGCACCCACCGATGATAGCAAGGACGACGAGAAAGATCAATTCTATGAGAGGCTGCAACTAATCATAGAGAAATGCCCTCACCATTCGAATGAGAGATCTAAATGCCAAAGTCGGAATAGACAACACCGGATATGAAGATATTATGGGACGACATGGACTGGGACAGAGAAACAAAAATGGAGAAAGATTTGCAAATCTATGTGCATTCAACAAATTTTGCCCCAAAATACTGACGATAATTCCACTAACTCGACTATGTTCAGTTGCTCACGAAGAATGTCTACCACTTCCTCTATTTACTTTTTAGAATTTCGGAAGAACACCTAAGATACCTTATTTTATTCCGTATTATTATTCAGATCTGGGAAACTCATGTGATTATTTATTGTGAATATAGGGCTACAACGCACCATAAATAAATAATCTTAATGTGTGCACAGCTAGAACATTTATGGTACAAAACTGGAGTAACAGCTGTTGGTTTGTTCTCTGCCATAATAGGTTATTGCTGATGGTATCCGTCCAACGGACATTGTGTATCTTGCGTAAATAATTGTTTATAAATACATGTACTTTTATGATGACGGTTGTAGTAGTTCTCCACGTTTTGACTCCGTACAGTAGAACTGTTTTGACGTTCATACTAAAGATTCTGACTTCGATGTTGACTGACAGTTGTTTTGAGCTGTAGGAATGCTGCCATCACTTTGGAACTCGTCTCTCATCTGTTCCTCTTGCACGACTTCACAGTGTATTCCGTGTGATATTGCCAATCTTCTCAGATACAAAATAGCGTGGAAGAAGGTTACATGAGGTTCCTCTGTCCATGATATCAAGGAATATATATACTGAATCTTCAGAGAATGAGATTTAAAGTTTTACAATTTTAATAAATCTGATCTTGTCAATTATATCTTGGCATGTTTGCATTCAGATCAGAGCTAATACTTTACATTTTGACGGCATCATTTAATAACTGTTCACTAATGTTAGATGAATACATTGACTATATTTTATACTTTTATTGCCCATTTTGTCCAATATATCATATTCTGTGTATTTATTTCAGAGTGATTCTAATACTTTTCGTGATATACCTACAAAAAATCTCACTAACTCTACAATTCCTCATGAAATAAAACTAACTTCTTCTGATACTGTGACACCATCATCATCATCATCATGGAATCACATATTGAATTTCAATAACTCTGAAACCATTCATCAGCAAAAATATGACAATACTTTAAGACCAACTAAAGATGAATTAGTTGAAAAGCAGGCATTTCTAAGAAAACAACGTGATCTACTGATCGAAATGCGTCAGAAAAAGCGTGAAAAGCTATTTTCTGATCATGTACAAACTTTAACAGATAACAGTTTTGTATATACTAATAATGTAAGTTGATTGTAATAATTTACCAAACAAATTAATTGAAAATTTCATCTTTAATCTATACAGTAGATACATGAATTATACTACAAAGGCTTTTGTGAAATACTCTCCGCAAATTCATTTAATGCTGATAACTGTTTAAGAATATTGTGGATAATAACGTTTATGTGGTCACTATCATAACTAAGGACTACTATCAACTTCCTAGGTTGATGAAATTACTGAATTTTAACAATTTAGCGTTTCTATTTTTTTGATCATCGTTTTACTGCTCATCTAATGTTTGATGGTAAGACTATAATTTATGGACGACCTTTGAGTGACGGTAGACTGACCTTAAGACTGTCCATCTAATAACTAGGACCAGATGAAAGTTATAAACCTACATAAGGAATTCGAATTTTGATTTACAGTTGATGGTTAGGGTTAGGAATTAGATAAATGGTTTTCATCACGATATGTCAAAACGGTATTTAACCAAATGAGTTGACGAATTTCGCGCCAAAATCCGAGACCTGTTTTCTTATATCTGACTGGTTCGTCCATAAATTATAGTCTCGCCTTTCTGATCATTTGAAATTAAGGTAATTATAATTCTGATAAGACGTAAAAATAAGAAGGTATCTAAAGAAGATAAGGTTAATTTGACTTATACTTTGTGGAATAGTTTTTTCAACTGCCGGTCGTGGATTTATTGATCAGATTAATGATATAAATTCAGTAGTTTTTCGTTTCATTTCAGAATTTCATTTGTATTTATATCAAAATGACATTTAGACTCCGTTAGGAAAAATTGGTATATGACCATCCTACTGAGATACTCTGTTCAGCGATAGATAATAAACTAATTACCCTTATTCCTTGAGTTATTAGCTTCTTCTCTTCCGTTTATAAAACCGTTCCACTGAAACAGAAGGGCTGGATCTTGGAATTATTCTCTCGGAAGTTTTTGTTATTATTGATAATTTTTTTCTTATTGTACGTGGCTTCTCGGTTTGAAGCGAATACATCATCATTGAAGTTGTAGAATCAGTGCATATTTAATTACCGTATGATTCTTTTTAATTAATAAATACTTTCTCTGGTGATTATCACATTGCGACTATTATTTAGCATGGGATCCTATTCCAATAGCGATGATTGAACAGAAAGGGGAGCGGGCTAATAAGAATTAATATACTTCCAGTGCTTAAAAGGACAACTAAAGAAAACTTTCACACTTGAAAGTGTTATGTGTCCCTGTCTCGACTAGTAAATTATAAGCAGCGTTCACTCGCGAACCTCCATTTAGTAAGATCACTAGGTTTCGCGGTAAAAGCTTCAAATCTAAGTAATTAAATGGTGATTTATGGTTGCTTCAAGGTTCCATACTAGCCGTTAAACCTGAGTTCAATCCAATATGACATTCCGGATAATTTCTTTTCAGAAGTTACAAACTACTTGCCACTCAACTAAAGACAAAACAGGTCACTATCAAATTATGCGAAACTTCAAGAAACCCACTTTTACTTAATTAGTTCTGATTTTATCCTACCATTTATTTTAGAGAGACCGTAATTCAATCGACAAGGAAGAACATGATAAAGTTATGGAGAAACGTCGTAAGTTATATGAAAAACTAAAGATTGAAGTGATTAATAAAAGTGGTTTTGATCAGACAGAAAAATAAATTGGTCTAATTTCCTTGATTTTATGATAATCGATCGAATATTGGATGGATGTACATATACATTTTTGAACAATAAATGTATAGCTATAAAACAGTGAATGTGAATATCGGAAGTTTCAATTGGATCTTGACATCGATTCATGGGAAGGAATCTAGATTGTGAGGAAATTTCCACCGAAGAAGATTGAAATGGTTTATGTGGATCCCAGTTTGTTTGCATTTTCACGCACCGTTCTCTTATAAATGCACGATATGTAGAAACACTGATTCCTATCATTTCAATTGCATCATTGTTGTTTGAAATCCTAATGTAATGTTTACATATGACACTGTATAATTTTACCAAAACTAAAATATTTGATTATTCTCTAAGAAATGTATGTATCATCAAAATAATAAGTCAAGGAGTTTACAATAATAAATATCGTTACAGCAGTAGAACTATTGGTATTTATTCTTAAAGACAAAAACCATTACATCAAATCAGAAATTGCAAACTCTTGGATGATTGGAAGAGAAATATTTGGCTGATTTACCATGTAGAGTTCAGGTCGATTGAACAACTAAATAAGGATTTATTGATAGTAATTGTAACTATCGGAATGAAACCAGTGTCAAACCCGGAAATATAAATAACCCGAACTCACACATGGGTAAGTGGAATATGCCGGAAATCAGTTGCAGTAATATTCACGACAACAGTTTACGGTAAACTAAATACTTTAAGGTTCTCCAGCAACACTTACTGAAATCTTGGCTGTGTGGTTCTGGGTACCAAACTAGTATTGTTTGCGAGCGAGAGACGTGTAGTCCCCAGTTATCTTCCTTTACATTTGGGACCACGTAGTGCAGTGAGCCTTATTCGTCCTCGGGAATGGGGGTATTGGCAGATTTCGTATGTAGAGGGAGACAATGTTAATCATTTTGGTTTTGTTATGAGCTTGTCTCATGGGTCTTGAAAAGTCAGATAAGACTTCAGTTTCATTTGTTGGGGATTTAATTTGATCGAGTCCGGAAATTCGACTGGTATGCCTGTACATTTTACAATTACAGACATGGTTCATAACGAATTTAACAGCTTGAAATGTGACTTGTGAAATCTATCGTGACAGTTTGGTTGATGGTCAAACCGGCTACGAAGTAGTTCTGGGGATCGCGCTATTTTGCTCAGCTCTTTTCAGTAGATTAATTGGTAAAGCTACAATAACCAAACTTAGTACGTCGAATTGAACTTTGGGAATTGGCTAGTCTTCCTAAAGTATCTGACCCTAAAAGGCTGATGAAATGTGAAAATAAACTGAATGTTATGCGCGGTCGGTTTTCGAGTCTGATATAACAACTCTGATATCTCACCAGATTGAAGATTTGGCCACTTCGAGTGGAGTGAACTGCATCTTTCCACGCTGGCAAACAAAAATAATGACGACTCTGACAACCCTAATCATATCAAGGTTGAACTACTGTGTGGTAGATCTAGCTGCCTCGATAAAATACCCTTTCATAGTTGCTTCAAATGCAACACATACATATTTATTCACTTATAAATACAGGGCGTGCTGATATGCTACTGGAACCACGAGAAGTTGCTAGGACAGTAAAAGGTCATGTTGGAATTTCTGCCTTTCGTGTTTGTTTTGTTGTCGCCACTTATTCCTCACACTTGAAAAACGAGGAACAACAGTGTATCCCACGTCATGAAGTAAAGACACTAAGAATAGCACCAGAAGATTGTAGTCGAAAGTACACTCAGTATATGTTGATTTTACACTCATTTTCGCTAGTAATTAGAATATATCACACTGGAACACAAAAACTAATACTATGAGTAATCATCGTACTAATTTAAAAGCGTAAGCAATGTCGATCATTATTCACAATAAGTAAAATAAAGTAATTTAGGGGTTAACAATAAGTTTAGAATCCTTGCTTCTAGCCACAAGATCGTAAGCAAGTGCAAGACGACGGATCACTGGACTGAAATACTTAAATTGAGCTCTCAATATTATACAGGATCACACTCCCACCCAGGTTCCTACTCCAAGAAGGACTAGTAAACAAAAACGAATTGAGAGAATTGGCTGTTCTAAACTCCCGTTAACTCAGCCAACAGAAGAAAAATAACAAAGCAATAATAATTGTATCGTGTGCTTGTCGCTCGGTAAGATCAGGGAATTGGCATTTTAATGTGCTTTCTGTAGTAGTTGAGTTTATAGAATTATGTTCTACTATGATATTAGTACTGCTCTAACTATAGACCTAGTCCTAATATTGTAGACTTGTCATGATATAACTGCCTAATCTATAAGATCTTATATGGAAGTCGCATCATCATCTACACCAACTCACTGTATCGTAACAATTACCAATACATACTGGAGAACAAGCTTAGGCTATAGAAAGAACAATATATTTATTATGAATAAAAAATATAAGGCAACATTCCGCAGGGACCACGCCTGCATGGCCGAGTCATGTCATTCGATCAACTCCAATCCATTCAACCCCTTGTTCCCGCCTTCTTCATCGTTAGGTATTTCTCCGCGTTAAATTTCGAATATCTATTTTCTGAGTAGCCTCGTGTTCAGCTTTGAGGATTGTGTGGTTATGGTCCAGTGCCACTACAAGTTCACTGCTACTGTGATAATTCAGTACCCGAGCAGTACTACGGGTTTACGTAAAGTTACACCTGTCCATGGTTCTTGTATATTTGCCCACAGTTTCAAAGAAATGCATCTACAGAACTAACAAAAAATAGAGCTTTATTGAAAATGACCGTATCAATCCCAAACAATGTGCACAATCCATCCGACGCAGACATAATCAAACATGCAACTATGAGAAGAACAATCTGAACTCGTGGACTAATAGTTTCTGACTTTTGCTAATACCTCAGTATCCGTTAACAGTAAGAAGCAGCGGTGTGGGTTGGAAAAAGAAATATCCGAAGCCCAGCTCCAAAAACGTTTAAAGACGAGGGCAATGTTTGGAAAAGTTTGGAGTGCAGCTTATTGGAAGGTTAGGCAGCGTTTGGCAAAGAAACTTGGGACAAATACTGTACAATACTGGGAAGATATCAGTTCAGTGAAGCTACAGCACCTTTACAACAACGTAAATGCTCCAAAAGGCAAACTTTTCATACTGGGAGTAACTTAGGACACAGCATACCTGATGGAGGAGATTTTAATGACATACCATCATTTAAATGATTCTCTCGAATTTGAGTCAGAGATGAAGAACATTGGGCAGTGAGAAATGCCGCTAGATCGGCGGACACACAAGAACCAACCAGCATGATGGTTCATCGAGTGTCTAGGCTAGTTGTTGGTAGTCAGGATGAAGCTCACAAACACGATAGGCAACAGTGGCTTTGGCTATCGTGTATCATAAGCCTTCACACCAGGATACCTCGTCCGTCAAACTTTACGAGCATCAAGTCTCCACTTCTGATTTCTGTGAACTTCAGAAATCGAGAGGAATTAACTGAAGTCCTTCAGGCTTGGTACGGTTAAGGCCACGACATCCTCGGTCACATTATGTAGTGTTAACGTTGACCTTGATCGGTAGCGTAACTGTAGAAAAGCCTAATTAGTTATTACTTGGTGCCGTTTAACTTCGGTCAACAACCGGCGGTTTAGAACACGAGGACCACGACCACGTAAGCAAACCACGCTACACAGGCCAAAAAATTCCGGCACCCATTACACGAGGATTTGGTTAACATACTTTAGACGACAATCCGCTTAAAACTCAGAAGACAGGCACTGCTGTGAATGGATACCTCGTGACGAGACAAACCATTAATGCTTCAGTAGCGACGTAGGAGTTAAACTAGAAGAAACCAAAATAATGTGATGATTACAAGTATTTGAATTATAGTATTGAAGATGGTACAGGTATTCAGTGTTTGACAACGCTTTTACTAGTAACACCTATTATAACTGGTACCCACCAAGAGAAATCAAAAGACAGAATTGAGGAGATCAGAAGTTGTATTTGACGATCGCCATTATGTCGGAATTGTCTGATCTAGTCTGGCTAGCGATCGCAGTAGATGTTGAACACAGCGTTCCCACACGTGATCTGGTGTGGATGCATGATCGATCGCCTTCAGCCAGGTGAGTCCACTAAAAGTAATCTGGTCAGCATCCAATGTCGAATACTTACAGAGCTATTTATTTTGGGGACTAATTTACCGCTACAGTATGAACAAAGAATCCCAGAAATAACGTAATCGTATCAAGAAGTGACAGATAACCACAAACCAATGTACTATATTTGGAATTCGAAATCAAGTATTCAACAAGTACTATGGTATCATTAGTTCATTCAAACACCACATCCGCCACAGCTTAAACTGGTACCTAGATGTCTGTTATTGATTTTACATCTTCTCAAGTTCATCCTGTGTCTGTCCGACATTGTATTGGATAAAATATCTGTAGTATCTAGAATGTGCTCATTAGTATTGGAATTAACAAACGAAATCGGAACAGACTCACTCAGAATCGCATACAATCAGCATGTCGGTTTTGTACTGAAATCAATAATATCTAGAATTCGAACAATAGACTTTTCAACACTATCCTCCCCCACGAAATAATATTATTATTATTATTTACAAACATCTTATGGGTACATAAGTGTTGTGAAGAAACGATTTTGGGTTTCTTCGAAAAATGCAATCATACACAATTTTCAATAATGTTAGCATTTTACTTGCCGTATTAAAAAAAAGAATTTAGGGTAATAATAGTAGAATATTATTAATAATAAATCGGGTCTGTGTAATTGAGAAGAATATTGAATTGAGTTTAAAGAAGGAAACGTAGAAAATAAGGGAATAGAAATAAAGGAGTCTTTTCAACACTATCCTCCCCCACGAAATAATGTTGTATATTTATGTCCCCAATTTATGAATGATGTGGCTTCATTTAAAACATATTTCTCACATTGACTGGAGTAAACATTAGAAGTGACTTTGCGATAAGGATAAACAGCATTTGATATGAAATCATCGGAATTGTAATTAAAATCGAGCTCATTTAATACTTGTGCTTCGGATTGAACAAGTTTCCCTCAAGGAACAAATGCATTATGAGGACAACTAATACTTGGTATAACATCAAGCTTTGACTCTCCTGAAATAGTTTCCTTGAATTTATTAGGAATGTCATTGCAGAGTAATAGATCATTAGAAAAATCAGCATCCATCAAAACTACATCAGGTTTTCGATCATGATTAGGTTCATTCAACATATTTCCTTCAGATTTGTAAGAAATTTCGTCAGAAATCAGTGAATCATTAGGAAAAACCATATCTGGTACAATAACCTGAGAAATCTGATAAGTTGGTTGATTAGAAACTGTTGTCTCGCAAAGATTCTGAGTTTCACTTAACTCTGAACTGCTATATGAATCTACACTGTCTTTTAAAATCATTGGTAGGGATAAGTGATCATTAGGAACACTGGACTTAATAGAATCAGAATTACAACAGTTAAAATTCGTTGCAGCAAGATGAACAGTGGAATTACAATCAGATTGAATATGTCCAATATCACCAAATTTAAAGCACTTAGAATTACGAAATTTACATGAATTAAAAGGGTGGAACCTGCCACAGGACAAACATTAACCAAACTTGTGCCCATCTTCGTGAACTGCATCGCAACTCCCCAATGGATCATCTGCATAACCTTCAGTATGTGCTGGGTTGTGTTGACGTAATGCAGTGGAATATTTTATATCCTCATGAATCATTTTACGAAATCTTCTTCCTTTACCGCATTAGAAATTTGTATACTTAAGATAGTCTAGCAGTAGATCCTGGAGAATTGTATAAGAAAGCGAAATGGGCTTTTCCGGTAAAGCCAGAGTTTTTAATGAGCTATATGCTTCTTTTCCGATGAATGTGAGGAAATGTGCTATAATATTAACATCCTCATTATCTTTCTTGGTCATAGCCCAGATTTCGAACCTTTCCAAATAATCCTCAAAAGCTTCAGAAATTGAATGAATATCTAACTTTTCCATCGCAGGCTCTATCGCGACGCCAATATGATAATTAGAAGTATTTGAATTATAGTACGAACTAAGAATCCCCGATATAACGCAATTGAATCAAGAAATACTAGATGAGAACAAACGAATGTATTGTATTTAGAATTCGAAATCAAGTATTCAACAAGTACAATGGTATCATTAGTTCATTCAAACACAACAAAGAACTACGCCAAAGAGTGAACAACTAGGTTCGTCCGCACTTTTTCTCTTTAAGAGTTGTTCGTGTTTACAATGCGCTTTCTGTCGAAGTGACAATAAGCACCTCAGTAAGTAGCTTCAAGAGGAGACTTGACAAGCACGTACTCACTCATGGGTGGCCATCACTTTTTAAATCCTTCTGCATCTGACTAATGTCTCATAATTTACCGCGGATATTATTTCTACATAACCGGTCAGTCGCGCTTACTGTCAAGCTTCTTAAACATTAACAATCAATTAACTTATTTGTTGTTCTTGAAACAGTAGTCCTCTCTTAGCAGTCAAGTTTTTCTTACACTCCTCCTCACACAACAATCAAACCTGCCTAGTAATTTGATAACTGCTGGTATGCAGAAACCCTACTGCTCTAAGACATACGTACTCATCTAAATTACATAATATCCAAATCCATAAATAACTGCAAAGCTGACTACAATTAGTGCAGTCGACTGGCTAAGGGTTCATGAAACAGTAGCATTTAAAGCAGGTAGAACTAGATGAGCACAGTGAACGTATTATACTTAGAAATCGTAATCAGCGCTCAATGAAGTACGAAAGAATTATCACTTAGTACAAATACCACATATTATCAAATATCTGAAACTGTACCGAATTGATGATAATCGAGCGTGAAGGAACCGACAGTTTAACACAAGCTCGTAAGAAACATAAGAAACGTAAATTGCATTGAGGAACCAAACACTGCGCAACCAAGACGATATACAGGCACTTCATGAGGATCTGACTCGACTTCAAAGTTGGGCAGACGATAACGTACTGAACTTTAACACTTCGAAGTGTAAAGTAGTTCATCTGCGACATGTCGCAAGCTACAGTTACAACTTAGGAAACTTCTCTCTAGTAGTATCCCAAGTCGAAAAAGATTTAAGAGTCCTGGTGCCTACGATTTAAAGTTTTATGCTAACTGTGACAAAAATGCCTTCTGAGCAAACCTTACACTGGTAACATTGAAGCGCATTTTTGGCAATTTCGACGGAAGAACTTTCCATATAATCTTCAATAGTTTTATCCGTCCCCATTTAGAGTACGGAAACATAGCATTTCCTCCCTCACTCCAAAAGGATAAGGACACCCTGGAGTGTATCCAACGGCGAGCCACGAAATCAGTTCGAGGACTCAAATTTACAAAGAGCGCCTCCATTCACTTAACCTTTACTCATTAGACTATAGACGTCTTAGAGGTGACCTTCTGATTACTTACAGTATCCTTAACACTTCTGGACAATCTCTCAAACACCTAGCGACCTCTCAGGAGTCATTTAAGAGGCAACTTAATCTATTCTTAAGGACTAACGATAGTATCACACTATGATTTACTAATTTCTTTTCTTCTTTTATTGTTAACATACCTAGGTTCCTGCCTGGAGGATTTGGTGATCCCCTGTTACTAGATACGGAAGCCTGTTAAGCGAAAGCTTCTATTCCATCCACAACCATTTGAACTATCAACATTATCAGTATAAGTAGAAATTGGTTTGCCAAAAATTCCGATTACTTTCAAACTTCTCCTAAATATTGAGTAGACTGACCAGCTCGCTATTCGAGTAAACCTGAAGTCAGGTTTATTGTTTATGTAAGTCAATTACTTTGAACTCTCATCCCGCATATACTAAATAACGTTCTATATTTGCAACAGACAGATGAATTCGTAAGTTTTATGCTTGTAAACCATGAATCTAGTTGTGTGCACTCGCATTTTAAAGGCTGTAAGAGAAAGACTGAGATTCAGTTTAGTTGCCTGTAGAGTACTGGGTGACTTAAAACCTTCCTAGCACATGTTTTTCCAGTTTTATTGACGAATTAATTTAATTTCGAAAAGTGAGAACTAGACTTTGCTGTTCAAAAAATTCAACTCGCAGGAATGCTGAGAGATCTTGTGAGTATTTGAATATTTGATCGGTTTTCTTATGCCGCGATTTGGTTATTCTTGTCATATCGTATTGTTTTCACATCAGTTAACTCTTCGAACGATAACATGCAGCACACTTCTTAAACTGATCTGATGTACGGTTAGGAAATGTTATTTGTAGTAATTCTTTTGTCTTTTACGTAAGAACGACAATTATTTCTTTGAGTTTCACCTTACACACCTTTCCCTTCTCTTTCATTTGAAGTAGTAAACAGGCTCTGTATATCTGGCTAAAAGTGAAGCTTAAGCGTTATGCTATTTTCTTTAACTTGTCCAGTTGATTGAGTTGGTTTATGGTGATCATTCTCACAATTATAATTTGTTATTTAGAGTGTGGCTAAAACTTAAAATATTTTGGTTTGTACGGTTTGCTCGACCACTTTATGTCAGTTTTCAGTAAATAACTTTCAGTCAAAAGATTAAATAACCATCAAAACGCAGCAAAATTAGGAATAAACATCTTCAGAATTTCCTGTTGACCACCAACCATCATCTCATCTCAACATAGTGCACGCGATGTCGAGTCACCTAGACTAGTGGTCACATTTCATCTAGGTCGATAGAAGGAACACCTGACACACATAATGTTGGTCATTACCATAGTTTCGTCAGCTCTAGTAGGTTGTTGACTAACAAAATCATGATATAGATATGAAACGGTCGTTTATCCTTTATCATATTTCCATGTACATCTTCCAAAAATCAAACAAAAAGAAAGTGGACATAAACATTTTACCAGTTTGGTTGGAATAACTTTACGACAAGTAACACGCACATTTGAGTTAAGATATCGCGCCATGTTATATTTTCTAGTAGAACCTTCTAGTTGTGGATGGTGATTTTATCAGTTAATTACGAAGAAGTGTCAAATTAATTCATCATGTTATGAACCGCCATCAAATGTTATAAACAAAGCGTATGTTTTTTTATGTTTGCAATGGTAGTCTACCTCGGTGTGATAAGCCTTCCTATATAGAAGTGAGTCGCGTTAATCCGAAACCTCATTGTCTATACAGTAATACCTAAAAATCTCACCATAATGACCAAACATTTGAATATTTCTTAATTAATCTTTCAAATACTATTACTTTGTATATTTATGCTTGGCTTATGGTTTGAAAACACATACGGCTGAGAAATTGACCAGTTTTGTGATTTTTGCAACTCTTTTACGTAAAGCTAAGTTACTTTAGAACTGTTGAAAACCAGTAATTCCTCTGTAGTCTCTCTGAAACTACGATGAACGTGCCAAGTTACTGAAGTAAAACAAACTTAGAAGTTGCCACGACAATTAAAAGATTATGTCGTTAAAAATAACATATTACTACTTTTTCTTTTTTAGATCCATAGCTTTTATTGAATTTATTTTGTTGGTGTTCTTTTATCCTTCAACGGAATCTTGCAAACCAAATGCTGATGGACAGTTTACTAGTCTGGAGTTGGGCAGTGCTTCTAATGTTACCGCTGTAGTTGGCAGTGATATTTACTTTATTTGTTGTGGTGGTTTACGGTGGACATATGAAGTAGAAGATGATTACACAAGTCGAGAGATTGGACCACATCCATATGCTTCTATTGGTTCAAGCAAATCACCACCCGACTTGAATTTTGATGACAATCTGTCTCCAAGTTCCAGCAGTAATATGAAAGATTCTACAAACTTACAAAACACAGTGCCAACCACAGTATACACGATGCATGATGATAAAGGTCGGTTAATACTACGTATAGATAATGTTGATGTACAAGATATGGGACACTATAAGTGTCATGGTCACACCACAAGTTTAGATGCATATCTAGTGGTGGTCGACAAGAACTATCCCGAAGAACCGCACAATAAAACATTGCCAAATGTCGGAAGTATGCTACCACATTATATGATGTTCTCGTCGGACCAACTTAATAACGTAAGTGTCCGCTAATTGTGGTGTGAAGTTGAAATGGTTGTTCAGAAAATGATTATGCTGCTATACGTGTTATTTCACTTCTCAAAGGATTTGATTTATTACACGAAAAGACTAAAAAGTAACACGCTTCCACCAAATCGTTGTTATATATTGTCTCATTCAAAGATCAACAACATGCTTTCTTTGAAGGCTAAACCTTGTGTAGTTTAAATGAAAGATTATATGAATACGTTTTTGCTTATATATACATATATTATGTGGTAACATCGTTTGTGTGATAGTTGTTTGCACCTGATCTATACCAGGATGTGTATGTTGACAACTAACGCTTCCTTGCATTACTTAGTATTGTCAGATATATAACGTTCTTATTACCAATACTAATAAATTTAATAAAGTATTTGTTGAAAACCTAAGTCAGAAAGCTCTCTTAGCTTATGTTAGCTTGACTTAATGTGGGGCGTAAGCAACATGTCGGTTTTCCAATCACGTAATGAGTATAGTATCTAACAGTTCTCTTTGTTGCACTCTATGGATATGAAAGATTGTCTTTAAAAAATAAGGGATCTTTCATAGACTGTAAATATTTCATCTCAGTTATTTTCGATTCACTACTCATGTATCGTGAAATCTCCTGGTGACAGATTATGAGTCTAAGCACAAAGTATTGTGAAACGACATGAAATCGGCCGAAAGAGTTGCAAATTTTTGTGGGTCAAAGTGATTGGGACGTGTAATACATATTCCCTCGACTCATTATATTTCATAGAGCATAAATAAAATAGAAGAAAAGTGGAGATGGCTAAACCAAGATATGGGATCAAACTATGAAGTCATCGAATGCTGAATTGAGTTATACTGTACTGTAAAAGCTACTTAGTTGGAGTCCGCACAAAAACCTCTATCCACGGTTGGAGACTTTGGATTTAGCTCAGGACCGGTATTAATGACATAACTGAAATCTCTATTTGTTTTTTCCTAAATGCACCATTTTTTCTGTACCTAGTTCTTTCTACTAACGCCGATATTGCTTTGAATACTTTGTTATTCATACTCGGAATTTCACTTTACTACACCAATAAGGTATAGCAACCTTAGTTGGTACATATTTACATGAGGTTCTATGTTATTTATCACTATATGACCAACCAACCAACCTAATAATTTAAAAATTCTAACCTGACCCTTGACCGTTGAAGATCAGTTGATATGATCGGGTGGACACAATTTTTTATAGCCTCCTTTTACGAGTCCTACTCATGAACTTCATTGATTTTCATGTATTACCACACAACTTCATCTGTAGTTGTTTACTATTTTTTTGATTTTTTAATGGCTAAGAAAACAAACAGATACTAAAGTCCACTAGTTTATTTCAGTACTTTTTTTCAAAATAAGTTAAACAACGATGTTTTTCATACCTTTATTAGTAATGGCATGAATTATTTCACTTTTTATACACATGAAAGTTTTGATTAGTCTCAGTTGCCGTATGTACACGTGACGTGGTTATAACCATTTTTGCAGGTTTTCTCTCATGTACTGATTACGGTTAGCAGTAAAATCCCGGATGCATTTATCTTGTCTTATTTTAACTCGTCAGGAGAATGTTTCTGTGTCCAACTGCTATAAACTTAATAAAAGATATACAAGTCAGTAAATTTTTTAACTCGATTGTTCAGAGGATGATGCGTTAGTATGCCAAGTGAAAAGTACTGGGTGTGAGTTTCAGTATTTAAACTTCGACACCGAGGTTCAAGTACATTCAGTTGATGGGTCTCAAATTAGACAAAGCACTCATCTTGATTTCTAGCCATTATTCAACCTTAATATTTTGTTTAAACACTAAAAAATAGTACGTGAATCGAACAAAAATATCGCTATTTTGATATGGTAGAAAAACAATGTAGGTTTATAGCTACATGATTGACTATCTGGATTGATATAAAGTTGTTGAATAATAATAAACTCATAGAAAAATAAAAAATTACAAATCCATTGTATAAGAAAGAAACAATTAATCAATGAGAGAATCTTTTTAAAATCAGTCACGGACTTATATCCATTGGAGAACCATTGGAATTTAACGACTAAATAGTCATTTCATGCCATACTCGTTTACTTCGTTAGGAATATACAACCATGTTCTTATACTGAACTCAAACCCGGAACCTCAGGTCTGGAGGTAGAAGTCATACTTTCAAATCATTCTGTTGTTGTAGTTGTAAACTAGGATTAAGCGTTTATCCAGGATCCCCTTGATTTGAAACGGAGTCTATCTTCTTCTTCTTCTTCTTCTTCGCAAAGCAATCAACTGAGCTTAGTTTGATTGAATGAACAATCTATAAGACAAGTTAACTTGAAATATGTCGAGGAACTCTAGTTGATATAAATCTCACGTTAATTGACACTTGTCGTCATTTAGTCTAGTAGCTACATTGTCACTTGATCGATCAGTTGTGAATGTAAATTTTCTCTATAATTCTGGAATGATATATCCCCACAGTAATAAAGTCAACTAGAGAATCATTATGGAAATAGTAAAATCATTTTAGTTTTTTTCCATCAGACATTATCAGTTCACATCCATAGCATCACACATATAGCAGGAAGTTTATAACTTTTAAAAGTTTTATCTAAGCGAAGATAAATAGTGTTTAGCAGTGGAATTCAGGATGGGCATTTTATCCCATTTAGAACTCGTCAACTGAATGTATCTGCCTCTCAAAGTTGATGTTCACTCTGACAATCAAACCCAGTACCGTTTACTTTAAACGCCATCGCATTATCCACTTAGCTACTGAGTTCTGATAGTCACTTACTTGTACAATGAAGTGACTTTAAAATATCACATTTTTTTCTGAACATTAATAAATTGATTTTATTCTTGATTGGTACTTGTAACTTCTAAGTGAACAATTATTCTCCAGGTATATACAAAATATATTCAATATCTAATATAAGCAACAACAACAAAAATCAATATGTATTTGACATAGACTGTCATATAAAAAGTAAAGTAATTTACATTGTTCATGTAAAATAATAATAATAATAATAATAAGGCATTTGGAAATGACAAAATACTATTTATTCTCTATAAATTGTATATTGTTGTTAAGTGAATAATCCTAGTTGAAAATAAATGGTAATATAAATCACTGTTTAATTAATTAACTAACTAACTAACTAACTAACTGATTTCTTAATATGACGTTACAAGCCAACTTAGACCATTTGAAGAAAGAGAAAGAAAAAAAGGAGGGAAAAAAAGAAAGAAAGAGAAATAGTGTGCGTGTGTGTGTGTGACATGTATTCCCACATACATAATTCATATGGGAATACTGCAAAAAAACTAAGGTTTTTTTTCATTTATCTATATGCTTTATTATTCACGTTATTTTCGAGTGGATTTTTCATTTTGGTAATGGTACATTTTTATGAATGAAATTTATAAAATGATAAATGATGTTGTCTAGATCTCTACAAGTTTTACAGTAGGATCATTCGGTTCTATTTATAAATTGTATTTATTATTGAAAACTTTCATCTGTTTAACTAAATTACTTAAGGTAATCAATTATCGATAATATAATTTGGATCTCTATTTTATTTGATACATAATTATCTTCAGAAGGGGTTTGTGAGTGCAAACCCTTTTTTGAAGCATTTTGTAATTATTTTTTCATATAAACTCCGTTACAGATGAAGTTTTGATTGTGAACAAGGTGATGAGGAATATTGTGACTCCCCATTCGTTCACACTGTGGAAGAATACCTTTTCTTGTAGCAACTGAAGTAGAGAAGGCTTTAAGAGTGGTCTTGACAATGGGAGAGCGTGATTACAGAGACAAAGGCATAACAGTTTGAGACCGGTTAGTAAGGTACTATAGATATGCTAGCTTTATACTCCCCAGACCTTACAGCTTTCATTGGAAATCCGAGAAGTGAAATGAGGTGTCCTATTTTTTGTTCCGAACTTTTCTTACTTTCTCCTTTGATTGCACGATCTCAACATCGTTGAAGACGATCGTTGTCAAAAAACAAAACCTTACTACTGTCACAACCCGGTACAGTTAGAAATCAAAATTCACCCTGGGATCATAAGTTTGCTTGTTTTATGCTTACCGCATTCCAATAAAGTTGGATGGCATGCTAGGGTCTAAAATAACAAGTATTCTATCCAGTTAAGCTTGAATGAGTCTTCAAGACAGGTAATCTCAGTCACTACGTTAAGGTAGAAGCTACAATAGGGTGACTATCAACTGACAATTTATGCATAAAGACTAAAAATCATGGGAAAGTGCGACAACTGTTAAATGCTAATTCTGATTTATCCAGTATTGTCAAGTTATGATTACCCGTGAGATGTGAATCAGGACTCAGAGACCTTCAGTTAAGTATAATATCTATAGATCACTGAGACGTGGGATCTAATGAGTCATCATTTTTTTCAACTCCAGTCAGTTTATGTCCTACTATATTACACATCCAACTTATACATAATTCCAATTATTCAGACTTAAATGTTTAATTATTACAATTGCATAACTTACTTTGAATGGGAAATGAAGAGGGACGTTCTACAACTCGAATGAATCCTATTATTGTTGGTCTAATTGTTCAGCATCCATTTTCTTTCTGGACAACACCATTAGAGCCTTATTGATGTAGAATGTATATATGTTTACTTTTATTCATCTTTTTATCTTACATTATGGGAATTTACCCACTTTAATATTTTATACTTTAAGTACAATCCAAAGATTTATACTCGGTCCAATTTCTATGGCAAGAATTTTAGTAAATTTTGTAAAACAATCATATAAATGTATATATCATTTATTCTTGGGTATTTTTTAGAGTTTTTGTTATAATCTAGTCGAATTACCGATCGGATTTTGTTTTCAGCCCTTGCTCTTTACCATATTTGTGTTTTTCATCCAACTTGTCAAGTTCAGCTATACTAACATGCTTATAACAGCTAAATATAGATAACACTAGCCACTAGAAATTAAATTGTCACTAAAAACTAAACTCTACTATAGATGGAATATAGCTAGTAGTGAAATCCAGGACAAATGTCTTGTCCTATTTTGGGCCCTCTATCCGGATGTACCAGCATTCCAGAGTTTAATGTTCACTACAGTAGTCGAACTAAGTACCGTTCACTTCAAATGGCTTTGTGTTATTCACCTATCTACTTAGACGATACAGCCGCCTACTTGTTCGACGTGTATGAGATTTAATTCAGTTTGAAATGGTTTGAATTATCGCTTTATTGATATTTCTGACTACTAACCAAGGCTGATCAAATTTCAGTCAAAAATATCAACAGTGAGATAACTCAAACCATTTCAAAATGAATTAAAACTCTACTGTATAGCATAGATCTGATAAATGAAGTACTGAACACAACACACTTATTGTACATTGTTTATCAGTATTAAATTATTTAGAATGTCAATAAATTATTTCTTTACTAAACATCGTAGGTCAAACTAATTTGTCCATTGGTTGGAAAACAAAAAGTTAAATCCTGGCTATGGCGTGAACCAGTACTACCAAGTTCAACAGAATATGCTCAATTACCACAAGGTCGACCACCAAGTCGTACTGTTACAGCTATAAAACCAGGTTTACATGAAGGTAAACATGTAGAAATTGGTTCAGATTTGTCATGGGCACGTATTGTTGATCCTTTATCACCGGAAGCCCCGATTAAATTATGGTGTCAATTTACAATGCCCACTCCATGGGTTAATAAAGTTAGTTCACTTAATGCTTATTTTGTCTATCAATAAAGCTGGGGGTTTTTTAAGTAAGACATTTTATTACAATTTCTTATTCGTACTTACATTATGTTAATCAGTAGTAATGTTTTTATCAACCATAGTAATTGTAACCAGAAGATGCTAAATCTTATTGCGTTTAATCCATTATGGGACACTAGCTTTGATTCAAGATGTGTATAGTCAATGTAATCAACAGTTTCTAGCCACTACTATGTACTCCTCATCTTATGGACAATAAATCTACAATAGTTGCAGAAATATGCGAACAGCTTGTTGCATATTACTGGACTTCCTCATTCTATGGATGCCAATATTGTGCATTAATCAGTGTTAACCTTGTGCGACGATAGGTGAATACTATTAAGAAGTCATAAAATGGAAGTTGAAACAGTCGTTTATTACTTCTTGCTTTTCAGTAATTCCATGACTGCTATCTATATTCCGTACACAAACTACCTTTTACCTGTACATTAGTTGTTAACTGAGGTGTAATTAGTGTGAATGAGTAGCCAGCTGTTGATTTTGACAAATTCTTATCAGTAAAGGTTGAAAAGTGATTTGATATTACTGTATTTGTTAATATATATATATATTTAAATTAAGTCAGGGAGATGGGTAACTAGTTATAATATTTTTCTTTACTAAATCATAAGTTGAAATTGACACTGCTTCATGCTAATAGAACTTTGTTAGAGTTAGTCGATTAGTATACTTCTGGCTGTCAGGCATAAGTTAAATTGTGTCCTTTGTAACACCGATATAATGATCGACTGTATCAATATCACATATATCCTACTATACAAAATTTGAACAAGCTTCTTTATGACTGTTAAGATTTATGTAACTTTCAAGCTAAACATCCGAAATCATTAACATATCCTGCTTTAAAGTGCCTTTATTGAAGAATTTAGGTCAGCCATAAATCATGAAAAACTGACAATCACAGTTATAGTGTTAGGTACTAACTTGTAACTAGTGTTCAGCCATTGTACCTGGTGAACCCATTACTTTCAAACCAGTGGATCTTAATTTAGCAATAGACCTTTCAGCTTTAGTCACCTTATGGCAAAGCATGATTTATATTCAATTCCTTTAGTGAATCTCTGTTTTATGGTTGATTAGATCTTATGGAAAGTTGTAAGACACAAAAAGTGAATTATATATTTTACAAAGAGAGTTTAGATATCTGATCAACAATACTCTTTATTTGTTACATTTGTCTTTGTTAGAACTATAAAATAGAATCATATCAAAGTTGATGAATAGTGCATTTTATTTAAAGTGGTTCGGGTGAGACTATAATTTATGGACGTCCTTTGAGCAACGCTAAAGTGACCTTCGGAATGTCCATCTACTTACTAGGGTTAAATGATGGTTATAAAGCAGTATGAAGAGTATAGATTACAGTTTACAATTGATGGTTGGGGTTGGGAATTAAATATGGGGTTTTCATCACGAACTGACATCAGTTAAAATGCCAAAACGCTATTTAGACAATTGGATGAGTGAATTTCGCGCCAAAACCCAACAGCTGTCATCCTAAATCTAATTGGTTCGTCCATAAATTATAGTCTCACTGTGGTTTGCTAAGCAAAAAAATATATGATTGTTCTAATATATATGAAATAATTTCTTATTTTTGTCAATAGCTAATTTTAAAGTCATTTATGTAATAGATTTTACTGATACTAACTGTCATTAATAATAACTAACTACTGACGACTAAAATGCAACGTATCCACCAATTTAAGTGACTCAACTTCTTCGTAAACTTTATTTGATTGTGGTCATTTGAAAAAACGTTCACGTAACCGTTGTAGATTGATACGTACCTCATACCACATAATTAGAGCACCAATCTTCGTATTATTAACTAAACCACTAAATATTCATAAGATAACTACACTCTCTTGATCATAACGTATAAGTATGTATCTAAAGATAGATATATTCCAGGAAGGAATGTATAAAAGAGTAAGCTTTCTTCTAATCTATGTAAGATACCTTCAGTGTATATTTATGTATATAAATATGATACATTTTGTTGTGGTCTTCATCAGAGAATCTATTAACAATAACTGAATTGAATATGCACTACTGAGGAGTCCCATACTAGAATGAAACGGCCATCCAGTGCATCAAGGTTTTCAGTGGTGGTCTAGCTTATGAAATTTGCTACTATCTCCACAAATCCCCTTTTTTAATATTAATTGAAATATCTATAGTTATTTCATTTGAGCCAAGTAATCCTAAAAAGCAATTACTAATAAAATTACATGAGATCGTATAGAATACAAACCGATTTTGTAAACAAACAAAATGACTATTAAAGCATTCCGTAAGTAATAGTGTCAGCCAAACTTCCATATAAATTAGGCTATTTGTAAAATATGGATTTATACTTTATTTAGGACAATAATAAACCTCTTGAGATTCTATTCTATCATATTTATACACGCATATACATAAAATCTCTATTTATATACAATTGAGTGAGGAAATTCGAAGAAAAACATCTTTTCCGTTTTTTTAAGGTGATTTATAGGTAGAATTCTGATAGTGGGTTAGTTGGTTATTGATTATTTGTAGCAAATCTTCTAGTCATGGTTTTAAGTTATGAGTATTATTCTGCCTAACTTTTAAAATTGAATCGAATCATACTACTTAATAACTTAAAAAGTAATATAGTAAGTGAGAAGTTTAAGTATTGAAAGCTACCCTCACCAAACGAATTCATTCAGTGATTCCATTCTGTATAGTGAACAAGTCAACTTTATATATATATATCCCCAAGGGTCACGGCTTCTCACTAGAACTCCAAGAATTCCTTCAGAAAGCTAGTCACTAGTGAGCACACGGCAATTATTAGTTGAAGTTAAACATTAATGCCGTTGGATGCCGACTCAGTGGTTTAGAAGTTAAGCGTTCGCACGCGAGACCGAAGGTCCTGGATCCGAATCCCGCGAGCGGGGTCGTGGATGCGCACTGCTGAGGAGTCCCAAGATAGGACGAAATGGCCGTCCAGTGCTTTCAGGTTCTCAGTGGTGGTCTAACATCAATCAGTTCATGGGCTCAATAAAATTTAATGGTTATCACCAGAATTATCTCGAAATCGGGATCAGGATTACAGTTCTCTATCGTCCAAGGGTATTTTCTCATCTCTAAGTGTCAACGTTCTAAGTTTTGAATGATTATACTCTCTTACTGGCAGTGACTGAACTTAGGTTGAAGTTGAGATGATTTTAAATATTATTGGTTCAGAACATGACATTGTTCTACCTCCGTATTGAATTCGGTAAGGGAACACGGCCGGCAAGCTTCCATTATCGTATATTTTAATCAGTTGTAGGTTTAAATCCACAAAATTATAAACTCCAACACCTCTAACTTAAAATTACACTTAACACACATATGACAAAGACAATGTAGCAACAGATCAATAATTAACTGGCCATATCCAAAAAATAGTATAATGTATTACAATGGTAAAAAGGTTCAACGAACGATCACGATACACGGAATATGTAAATCTAATAATCCAATCGTCTAATGGTTGTAAAACAACACTGAAATAACTAAAACTGTTTAGTTAAACAACCACTGAAAACCTAGAAGGACTGGATGTCTGTTTCGTCCAAGTATGGGACTCCACGGTGGTGTGAATCCGTGACCCAATTACTGTGGATTGGACCCAAGACCGTCAGTCATGAGCGAGGACCTTAACCTCTAGACTACCGACCGTCTAGCGTCCATAGGCTCGTGATCCCAATAAAATTCAACTATTTCCACAACCCTGATATGGGAAACCAATCAGAAGCAGCCTAATCAGAAGGTCAATCGATGGTAATCAGAAGTGACCTAAATAACAAGTTCATTTTATTGACGAAGAAATGGATCAATTTCCTAAGGGTGAGAGTGGTATATATATATATGAGTATTTGTGTATTTTATTCTCTTAACCTATAGACCATTGAGCTGGCTTCCAACAGTGTTAATGTCTAACTTCAAGCAATCCACTAAAAAATCATTTAAGATAGGATTTAAATATGGACTCATTACTATTTTCATTAACTTGTCTATAATATATGTTGTTAAAGACAAAATCAATAGTCAATTGTTCATCGTAATAGTTATTCCTTGCGATTACCCCTTGAAAATTCCAATATTGATTTGTGGTAATGTTAGTTATTGATATAAAAGTCAATTTTCTCAATTAATAGTATATTGATGAATGAAGAAGTAACATTTTTAAGCCATTGCTTCTTACTGAGTTGAACACGTCACGGTAGTACGATTGATCCAAAGTTCAAAAGTCACGATTTCTTCTTTTCACTATGAAACTCCAAAGTGGCTAGTACAAATTTGAAAACACTTAAGTAAATTACTCGCTAACAAAATCATCAAGTAAAGTTTTAATTTGATGAATAAGATGAAATATATAAGTTTAAATGAAAGACATATGATATTTTTTTTACCTTACTTCGTTGTTCTATCGTTGATTGAGATAATTCTCATGGTATGTTACCAACTATTAAAGTTACGAATCGATATTGGATGTTCCAAGGATAATAATCTAAAAGAATTACTTTCATAATATACAATAAATATTCACTTTATTTAATTATAAAATATATTGTACACAAATTGATATGATATTTAGGGATTCATTTTCAAGCCTTAAATTAACTGAATTTTTTCTCTAATAAAATACAAACTATGTAGGTCAATGAAAATTCAGATATGATTATTATCAAGTTCACCTTAACTGACTTAAAATTTCAATGGTTGAGGTCATGAGTCAATCAGAGCTATTCCGTCATGGAAAACCTGGAAGTACTGGACAGCCGTTTCGTCCTTTTGTGGAACTCCTCAACAGCGCGCATCTATGGTTCCGCCTAGCGAGATTCGAACCCAGGACCTGTCAGTTTCGCGCGCGAGCGCCTAATCACTAGGCCATGATCTCAACCATTAAAATTACTATAGTATCCACAAAATCCCTTCCGACTTAAAATGAACAGTTATCTTTGTACTAAATCAATTTTCATACTTTTGTCTCTAATATCATTTTTCTTTTTTTCAGGATCCAATTATTGCATACTATGAAATTGATTGGGAATTATATGAACCAATTTCACCGCAAATTTATATTCTACCAGGTGATAAAGAGTTTAACTTTGAAGACATAAATCAAAATCTCTCAAAATCTATTCTACCTAATCAACAATTAATAAATCAAGATCAACATGCAACAATTGCTCATAGTATTAATGCACAAATTGATGAATCTATTAAGTTGGCTAATTTGAAAAGCCCAAATAAATCAATATTATTAGAGAATAAACCAGCTCGTATCGCGTGTCGATTTCGTTCGATTCCATTAACTGGTATACCAAATTCACAATCAAATTCATTGAGAATACAAAATGTTTATTGGTATCGTAATGGCCAATCAGTTCATGTTCCACCATTCTATGTTGATAATTCATTAATTACTCCATATGGTTTATCAATTTTATCTGTTCGTGCCTATCCAACTATATTTAATTTTAGTCAAATTGGTGATGAGAAATCATCAACAGTAACGGCGGTTGGAAGTAGTGATAAATATAAATTACCTATTGAACATTTAACTTGTTCCGTAATAAGTCGAGTGAAAGAAACACCAATTTACAAGGTTACAACAAATGCAAGGTTGGTTTAAATTTTTCCATTTTAGTTTCTTTTCTCCAAATGCTAACATAAAGAATGGTAACCTGGTAAAATGTTACTGTAGTGAACGAGAACACCAGTGGGGACAAATAGATATATCTGAATACAAAATTACAAAATCTCTTAGTAAAATTTGAGAACCATACAGTAAATGCTTCATTTGGAAAATGTTAACCATTTGTCTCAGACTTGATTACTTCTTCGTTCCCACACCAATCATTATCTGTTTTTGTTCTCTTCTCTTCGATCTTTTTAACCTTCTGCCACCAGGCAGAACACTTTCGATTGATGATACATACTACTCATATCTGTCAATATCAGTAGCATACACCACACTACCACACTTAAAAGTATATTTAAACTTCTGTATGTAAAGCAATTAGAAGGGGAAAATCAACAAAATTGTGTTAGTACAATAAATATATATACTTCTCTATTGTCAAACACATGGTCGAAATAAGTTATAAGACTAGTCCCTGCTCTTCAGAGATACTTAGCAACACCCGTAAAATATGAACAAAAAAGAATTTTTACAATAGATCTTTTGATTTGTCTACAACAATAACATAACTTTTGAATACTAACGTTAAAATAGTCTATTAAAAGGTATAATTAGATTTAACCAGTCTATATCAGAATAGGAAAAAAAGTAGGTAGTTTTTTGTTGTTTTAAGATCGTAGTTCAATTCAGCGCAAGAAAGTTGTAGTTTGAAAACAAATCTCCTAATAAAAATACAAATGAGCTGATATCAACAATCTTATCGACATGTCAGTATACATACCTGTCCAGGATTTTATTTATTTAATACAAAATGACTGCGGTTTTTTAGTTGAAAGGACCTGGAAAGATCTAATCGGTTTACTTTGATCAAAGTGGAATCACAGTCTATTTAATATTTTCTAAGCGAACTTATTCATCTTGACAGTTTTGCAAGCGGTTCACACAAGTGTGATGAGCAAGGAGAAAAATCTTTGGAAATTCTTAAAAATCTGTAGTCTTTTTGTTTTAATTTAAGCATAATATATTGAATAACATTTTCTATAAGAAACTAGCCGTGATGACAGAAATGTTTTGCAGTTTTTAATGATTTCAGTAACTGAGTAGAAAGGATATCATCTACTTTTTCTATGTTTTCATGTATTCATCGATTTAACTTTGTTTAGTACAAAAGTGATCTACTATTAGTCAAAATAGCCAACGGATTCGTGAATGAAGTTATTCGTAATTAAGAAAAGATGAGAGGAAGTCAATAAGTAGCTTACTTTAAATTATATTTATTTGTGAAAATGTGTTTTTTCATTTCCAATAAACGATTTAATTTTAACAATTCTGTAAGTATATCTGTAACAATTCGCTAATGACAAACTCGACTATTTTACATTGACGCTGTCGATGACTAGCTCCCAGATGATTAAAGCATTCATCGTGAAATGTACTCATTATTTAGAGGGGATTCTGCTAGTGTATTCACTTGTGAAGTTAAATCGATTTTCTGGAATCTCAGAATAATGTTTCTTGTAACTTAATTTCAATTCATATGGCTGTTTATTACCAGGATTTCTTTTTAACTATTCTTTTATATTTATTACTTAGAGCTCGAAATGATCTCATCCTTTCACTGTTTTTTAAACTTATGAATAATGGATGAATTGGACAAATGAGCCTTTAGTTAGAATATTCTAGGTGTAAGATGGCTAGAATAAGCCTACAGAAAACCCTGTATTTTGCTTTGTGTTAGTTGATACAAGTCAGCAAAGTGTATCGCAAATCTTGAGGGGACTGAATATTTTCGTGAGGTACAGACCCCTGTCTCCCACTTTCATATTTTGAGACGTTACCACTCAGTTGTTCAGCCGTCGACTAACCTCCTGTAGGACCGTGATATTTACAACTGATTGGTGACTGAGTACAACCAATGTCATATTTATCTAATCATTTAGTGAGGATGAATTTGACTTCCCAAAAGAGTAATATTTATCAAAACATCTTTAAAGACATTTTACTTCTTTAGTTTCACTAAATTACTTACTTTATTCAAGAGTGGGACAAATGACCTGAAGTAACCTGGCAGATTTCTTTTAACATATAGTAGTATTATTAATGGTGTAATAATAAAAACTGATTACTACCCGATATATGTATCGAGTGTTGGTTGATAATGAAATATTTTCTCAACGTTTTTAATTAAATTATTAGTATGAATACTGTCATGAAACTTCACTAAAATTATAATCCCGAAGTAATTTTCATTAGGTCGATCGGTTTTCAATGATCTATGCTAACCTTAAATTGTTTTTATTAGATTATTGTTTCACTGAAGTATGTCACCCTCTACAGTTTGGATCTTGACATAGTTCTAAAAAATAGTTGGCACACACGTTTGAATATAATTCGTTATTGGCTAGTATTTTCGAAATACATTACTTTTTAAGATTAAGTTAATCGAATTGTACTTTTTAAAAGAATATCACAAGTGCTTTATACATGTCCATCATTTCTAATCAAAACCAGAGTGAGAGAATTTCAAGTCCGGTGGGATTTACTGTAATTTCATGGGTAACAATTACAACTACTCGACTGATTTAAATAAGAAGTGATAATCGTCTGTAAGCAAAGATTACTATTTAACTCTGAACTTATATACAATATAGTGGTCTTCGAGATACGTGAAGTTCTTGAGTTCAATCCCCTATATATATGTGGTTGTAGACCAACTGATAAACAGTTCCATACTAGGACGAAGTAGCAGTTCAGTGCTAACAAGTTTCAATGATCTTTTATTTAAGATAAGTTCATAAAATAAAACATAGAATTCAGTAATTTCCACAAATCACCTTTACTAATAATATCAAATATTTTTCAATACAATCCACAGTGAATGTTATTATAACACTGTGAGCAAGGTTTCCTGGTGGTCATTCTATTTCAGTAGGAAATTCATCAAAATTCACTAAACCACATTATGTACCTTAATTCATTCACAACTTCTCTCCTAATTTCCCTTAGTTTTATAAGCATATATTTGTAATTTAAAAGTTTAACGTACTTGAAGATGGTGATTCTCTTGATGCACACTGTTGTTGAAATACAATCTATGACAAATCAATCATTTCAATAATCCTTAATTTTACAATGAATGTTTAACTGATACCGTTTCATAATGAAATTTAACTTTGAAATATTATTGAGGAGTAAAATAAATTTATTTTACTCCACAATATTTGTAAGTCTTGCTTGATAAAAGTTTACTAACTAAACTAATTGCAGGAAATTTCTAATACATCAATGTATATAGTTTGTGGAGATTGTTGAATTTCATAATTTTGCATCATAGTCTAACTTTCGTTATATAACCATTGATTAACACAAAGCACTAGACAAAAGCTTCATTAAAGAATCAACCTTTTTAGCAGTATACTTCGCCAAATGTATTGAAGACCGAGCCCAATACTTTCTGGAGTTGGAAAACCCTGATTCCAAATCATTGGTGCATATGGGCTCCAGTATCCTGAGGAGACAAATGGCGTATGAACCAATTATTGGTCACCGGCTACCATGGGACAGCATCTCCTTACGTTGCTCCACTACCTTATGGATCAGACCTTCAGGTCAAAGGCTCCGGGTGTGCCCCCCTAAGAAAACCACCTGGTTCGGTTTGGGCACCCGGGTAGTATCAAATGGGATTTGTGTAGCGAATATGTATCTAGTGCCCCCGTGTACCAATTTCTGTGTGTTCAAATAAATAAATGAATAAATAAATGGCAAAATAACTCTCTAATACTCCCTAGTTATTAAGTTTTTGTTTAATGAAGCTCTCTTAGTGATGTTAACTCTTAACTGACTAATCCTTACAAACTCTTTCTCCTAATAACTTTTATTAACTTAAACAATACCATTTTATGTTCAGTCAGAAATTATTTTCAATAATTTCTGTTCACGTTTAAATAGTGAAATGAATTTGCTAGTAGTTAACTATTCTTCATATCAAACTTATTAATTTGGAAATTTAACTTGGATTTTTTTTGCATTCTTGTTATAACTTGTGGCTTGTGTGTCCTGTTAATGTATAACGTAATAATACTGACAATTAGAGCGCAGTGAATTATCGATCAGACCAATGACGAATAAAAACCCGTATGAGCAGTCTATAGTCCTTATCAGTCCTGCTTACCGCCTAGCCCAGCCAGTTAAGTCCAGAACATCAATCTCATCATCCGCAATATGAATCATTTATTTAAAACATACTGGGTTTTATATACCAGCCAGATAAACCACATCGTACCAATAAAATATGAAACAACATTTATACAAGAATTAGCCAATTAGCTGTGAATGTGAGAGGTATTGGTTAATAGACAGGGCATAATTCAAGAATGGTAAATCGTACAAGAATAGTTCATAGGTCAAAATAAAGCTCATAATAAAAGGGACACGAATATAAATAGTTTAGTTATTTAACAATTATACGATAAAAATATACGTTTAGTATTGGTCCATGAATAGATCTCAAAAGTTACCATTTATTATGCTTTTTGGAACATAACAATTCTCTTGAATTATGTCCTTCTGTTTCTTCTTATTCAAGATGCAAAAACAAGAATTTAACTAGGATCATCTTGATAAATCTAGTCAACAAAAATACGAGAAAGAATTATAGCATAAGTAAAGAGTTTTTGGTAAAACTAAACTTACTGACCTCAATAGTTTAATCCATAAAGTAAACATAATGACAAAAAAATCAAACAAACTCATATTCAGAACGTTAAAAACAGATCTCTTATTTCATAAATCAGTATGATTTTTATCTTTTATGATTAGAATATATAAGTTTTGCTTTGAGTTGTATAACAAAAATACTATCTCCTTAGCTAAGTCTATAAACTATTAAAAAATGAGAGAAATTGATTATGTACATTGACACAGATTCGATTACTTTTTTAGTGAAGTATTTAAACCTTGAGTATTACACTCTATCATCTGTGTAACAGATTTATGTGCCATCATATTATTGGTCATCGACTAATATGAGATTGTATCTCCTCAAGTTGCTACAATGTTTTATGGATTAAATCATCAGGTCAAAGGCTCAGAGTGTGGACCTCCTAAGAAAACCACCCACTTCGGTTTGGGCACCTGGATAGTATTACAGCCCTCACATGAATCAATGATAAATACTACTGGCCTCATTGTTATTGTGTGACGCATATGTCTTTGGTGCCCCTTTGTACCAATATTTATGTGTTTAAATAGATAAATATTCTTAAAATGGTTAGCTAAAGTTTTGATTATTAACAAAAAGCTGATTGGGTTTCATTAAAAAAATATTTATATTATGTCAACAATTCCGTTACATTCGACTGTGTTTACCAACTTACTTATGTGCCCATATGAATAAACATATATCAGAAGTAATTATGATTTAAAAATAATGGTAGTTGAGGATCTACCAGTATGACTATGAAACAAATAAAATCGAACAGCTTATTAACCAACGCAATATAACTGTCAGTAAGAGGTTGTGGAGATTGTTGAATTTGATTGAAGTTATGAAACAATCTAAGATTTCTATAAGATTCAACAATCTCCATAACTTCTTACAGATAACTAACATGCGCTCACTAGTGACCACCTACTAGAGGAAATTTCTAGAGTTCTAGTTAAAAGCCGTTACCAAAAGAGCTAGTCCGTATCGGGTGTCGGACAGTTACCCGTCAAAGACAATAGAAGATAATCACGGAATGTTGTGGATCGATTGAAGTTAGACATTAACACCATTAAATCCCGACTTAGTGGTTTAGAGGTTACGGTTTCGCGCGCGAAACTGAGGGTTCTGAATCCAATTCCTTTTTAGTGGGGTTTCGTGGATAAACCTAATGAGGAGTCCCACACTAGGAAGAAACAGCCGTTCCAGGCCTTCATGTTTTCAAAGGTCGTTTCATGATTCTAGTGACAACATATCTGATTAGATTACGAATGATGATTCAGCGATAGAAATTAATGTCACAAAACAACCAATATTCTTTTATTTTCGTCTATCATTTTACTAAGGATATGACTTTTATCTTTTCATTGCATTGAAACATTGTTTGATAACGCTTTTTATAAATAAAGGTGTAATCACAACCTGAATAGCTCAATGATATGGACTTGGACCATGAAACTGGTTGAGTACAGTTTAAACCTCCAAGAAGCACCAATTCTTTCAAGACTACAGTTGCACGCCGCTAACTAAAGCCAACAAGCAAGAAACCTAGGTTTGAGGATTCATCCCAACAAATTTGTTAATAAAGGCAGGATGGAACCTGATATCAGATAAAAATGTTTAATGTTCAAAGCTTATACTTTTTAGTTGAGTAATATGTGACTGACATTGTCTAAAATAAGAAATGTAGTTGAAGATAATATGCCTTCTACAGGATCTGAAGTTTTACAGATTCGGTTTAATGTTAGCATGTAAATTCTCAGTATTACATTAAAATTATATTGCAGAAAAACAGTTGTCCCGTTTCTTTTAATCTAAATTTCATTTTTGGTTCTTTTGTTTCTCTCTGTTCAACCGTTGCGATATTTAGTTGAAAAGGTTTTGTGGAGTTTGTTTTATTCCGACAGTTATGTTCCTCACAGATTGATCTCAGTTCGGATAATAACTGAAATCTGGGAGCATTGGACAACTGTCTCTGCTTAGTGTGCGATTCCTCTCCAGTCCAGAGCCATAACCCACCCAAGGAATGAACTCAATACCTTCGGTATCGGGACAAAAGCGTAATCATCAGGACGACTGAGTCGACCTTCAATGGTATACATTTCCAACTTCAATCCTTCTATGATATAGCGTGGCAATGACCCAATGAGATTAGGAGTAACTATTTCAATCCAACATGCCTGAGCTCCACAAAAATGTAGATTCCCTCTTAGGTACACCTTAAATGAAGTTACTAGTGAGCCGAAGATTACGGTTTATTTGAAGGAATTTAATGGAGACTGGTTTGGTTTGTAGGCGGTGTCATGCGTATCCACTACTGTAGAATGTTAAAAGCTGTTTAGTGCTCCCTTGTTTTCAATGGTACCTCAACAAAAATCAGTCTGTGACAAATACAATTTATACTATATAATATTAATAATACTAATATGACGACATTATCAATAATAATATTTAACTCTTTTTTTTCCTTGATTTTTTCCTCAATTCATATCACAGTCTACAAACTGAAATCATTCTTGTTCCACGTATAATACATACAGAGTTATTATCAGCTGAAAGAAGTTTAGAAGATGCAATTAAATTGACCTGTACAGCTATAGCGAATGGACCACCAAATATGCGTATTGATTTTGCTTCAACAGATCAACCATCTACAAATAATGGTCCGACTCAATGGGAATCATTAAAATCACGATATGGATTAAATATAAGACCAAGACAAGTTGATCCAAATAATCCATTAATACATCGTCTCGTAATTGATATTTCTGGTAAGAAGCTTCTATGTGTTGTGATAAATTTTGAGGCTTGACATTCACATATACATAAACGTGGTTATGTAGTGATGTTTTGTATTTATTTGATGCCTTATAGTATCCTAACTAGTTAAGGTGAATAAGACCTATGACATGTGTTCACAAATTATTGTAAATCAATGGCTGGAAAATTAAACTGCTAAAGTTCAAAATCAAACAAACTGGAGCAAATGTATTTGTTTCTAAATTTCTTTAAAACTTTTTTATTTATTGTTTGTTTATACATATTGTCTTCTACGTACACCTATTTTCTGGGTCTTAAATTCAGTTTTCATGATAAATGGACTAGTTTTCAACGTAATTTACGGCTGCGAAACGTGGCCATAAAGAGTTAAAGATGTTCGCAAGCTACTAGTTTTAGACCACAGATGTCTTAGAAATATTGCTGGCATCTACTGGGATCACCGGGTAAGTAATAGTCAAGTTAGACGTAGGGTATTAGGGAATGGTGGTAAATCAGTTGATGAGGTTGTGAATCTTCATCGAATAAGATGGTTGGAACACCTGTTGAGTATGCCTGAACACCGATTATCACGACACACAATGCTGACTAGTGTAGGGGATGGTTGGAAGAAAGTTAGGGTCAGCCAGACCAAAACGTGGCATCAGTGCTTGAAGTCACTAACTCCTAGTCTGAGTCATGTTGGGAGATGCAGACTACTTGGTTGGGGTCCGCGTGACTATCGTAACCAATGGTTGGAGACTCTTGGTGACATGGCTCAGAATAGATCACAATGGCGTCGGTGTATACATTCTCTGTCTTCCCTTAAACTAAGAGATTAAAATCGCTTCATATCTTTCTTTCTACGAACTAATTCTTTTTTCCTGTATCGTATCCTTATATACAATCTTTCTTTTATATATTACCACCATTGAATTAACTACTTCTATGAATCCGGTGTTCATCTTATTGTAACTTAGACTGATGCACATATGTGTCTGGTTCTACATTGTAGCTGACTGACTGACTGACACATGACATGTACATTAATAATTGTTTCATTAGCCTAGAAACAACTTTTAACAAATTATTTCTTCAATTGTTTTTAAAACTAATGAAAATAAATCAAATCAAAGTGTACACATATAAATTTGTCATTTATCATTTTAGATTGTAACTTATTTAAAGATATTCACTTTATTGTTGTCATTTGAATCAGTTTACATAATCCATCTAATCAAGTCTTATTTTATGTATATTATAACTGTTATGTATTAGTTATTTTGACAGGATATATCTTTAACATATGTTATGAATTGTATTGATTAGCATAAATTGGTCTCAACTTTAATGATATTACCATTCAAATGATGGAATCATAATGTAACTTGAAAAGCCTGTAGAATACTTAACTACAATGATAATAAATATAACAAATAAGAGTGAATGTGAATTAAAAAAGACGAAACATTTACCCAACCTGTTAGAACGCTTGATTTTATTTCGTCTAATGTTATAATGGTTGGGTTTACACGTTTACATGTATAGGACATTAATTTATCTTAGACGAATATCTATAGTAGATTCCCTCCCAGTGTCTATTCTACATGACTTCAACATAACTCAGATGATCAAGAACACGTGGTTCTCTTGACTACAACGTAATTATATTTCCACATCAAAAACCCGACACAATGCAACAACAATGAACAATCAATAATAAGTGAGTAATAATTATAAGGATAGGGGAATATATAACTCACCTGACACCTGTCAGGCTACCTACATATCTGACTAAGCAGACAACCAATCATTATCATTCTAGCCCACACATCACAACCATTATTTGTTTCTATATGGAATGTGTCAATGTTAATGTTGTGTTTTTTTTTTGTTTCTCTGTACTTCTTAATAATGAGTTTGCTTACATTGATGAAATATGATTCCAAGGATGTAACTACTGTGTATATTGACGCTGATTAGAATAGGCAAATTCTTCGATCTTCAGTGCCCAAATCAGAACATGGGATAAGTTAGCTGATTTACTTTTAATGATGAAAACTTTAAAACACATTTTTATATACAATGAATCTAAAAACCATAATACATCATTGATAAGTTACAACTCGTACAAAATTCTACTATTTGTGGCATAATACACACTAGATATATATATTTTTATACCAATTCTTCGGAGAACAGTTTTTCAAGTTTCACACATTTCTGACAGTTTTCTGTTATTCCATAGGTTTCAATATAGCTCAGATCACAGTACTCTAAACTAGCTTCAAAACGAATGGAATTCCTTACTAATAGTTCAAATTAAGGATAATTTATCATGGTATGATTACTTGGGAAATCGATAATGTACACATCCCTTAGCAGTATCAAACTAGGATTAAGCAATAATCCATAAATTTCATTGGACTTGGAAAGAGCATCTCATCTATTTAGGACTCATCGCAGTGGGATAAACATGAGCTCCATGTTCATATTCACATTGAGACTATAGCTCAGTACCTTTTGCTCCAAACTCGACTGGACATCAACATCGAGATGAGGGCACGTCCAACTAAAGAGTCCCAGCTTGGAAGAAACGAATATCCTGAATTACTCTATTAGCTATCACCCTACATTAATCAAACATGTGACAAAATAGCAATAACGAGGCAGTCCTTTCAGGTTACACACATGCCTATAACGACTGATTAACTGTAGTCCTGAACACCAAAAACAGTATACGACAAACCCTTTACAAATAACTGTTTATTACTCTCCAAGTTTCAATGATTAGCCAACTGAAATGATTTTTCCTATTTGCCTCGTTGCATTTAATATGTATGTCGACATAAGTAGTATACACCACACTAGTAGTAAGCAATATCATGTTTGTCTAGTCCATACTGCTGACTAAATTATGTCTATTAAGTTTTTATGTGGCTACTAGTCTAAGAAAATCGACTATGAGATTGGGTGTCACAGGTACAAATCCCACAACATTTGTCATTTCCAGCGAGATATCATATATACTGTTCTGATGTGTTCCAACCAATACGAAATCTAAGTTCAGGGTTTCCTGTATGCTACCATCTAAAATTAAAACATTATGATGATTAGTCTTACCAACAAGACTAAAGGATTGAGCAAGACTAGTATTGATCACTACGTAGTGATCAATCAATGTAATTATTACATGTATTTGTTAATATCACTTCCATCTAATATTAGCCACACATTTTATTTGGATAGAGAACCGTTGATGATTTTCATTTTAAAGTTATTTTTCATTTATGAGCGAAAGTTAATTACAAAATCATTGTGAAATAGAGAGGATCTATCATTTGTAGGATCATAAAAGTGTACCATCAAGAAATTGATAGTAGATTGAGAAAGTAATCAAATGTTTTCTAATATGTAATCACTATCTAGTTTGCGATAGGAATAAAAGTTTCAGTATAAGGTTGTGTAGATTGTTGAGTTTGTGATTGAGTTCATGAACCGATTGATGTTAGACCACCACTGAAGGCTTGGAAGCACTGGATGGCCATTTCGCCTTATTTTGAGAATCCTCAGTAGTACGCATCCACGATCCCACTCACGGGATTCCAACCCAGAGCCTTCAGTCTCATGCGAGAACGGTTAACCTCTAGACCCCTGAGTCGGCATCCAGTAGTGTTAATGTCAAATCTGAGTTCAAATCCTGCGAGCGGGATCGTGAAGGAGTCCCACAATAAGACGAAATGGCTGTCCAGTGCTTCCAGATTTTCAATAGTGATCGAACATCAATCCGTTCATAATCTCAATCAAATAAAAGTTTCACAATTGATTGATCACTGAGTAGTTGATCAATGTCATGCGTGTCAAGTTCTTATTTAGTGCAGATCAAATGCTATCGATCATGTTGCAATGTGGCCACCAGTCTAGGTGACTCGACATTGCGGGCACTATATATTGAGATTAGATGGTGGTTAGAGGTAGTCGACAGGAAACCCTGGACCCGAGTTTCGTGCTACTTGGCACTCGTCAGCAAGGCGGCTTAGATAGCTTAGTGGTAACGTCTCTGACTGTGAAGCTGGGTGACACGAGATCGCATCCGTCAGAGAGCACTAGTTCCCCCAAGATAACAGGTACACTTTGCTGACGAGTGCCAAGTAGCACGAAACCCAGGTCCAGGGTTTCCTGTTGACTACCTTCAACCACCATCTAAATAAAAGTTTCATTTATACTTCATTTCATATGTATGTTATATCTATGAGAATTTTTTTACAATGAAACATGAATACAATGATCATTTCATTCAAAATAAATGATTCCAAATTGTAAACGTTAGTAAACATTAAATAGGGATATGTTTCTAATCGGTAATCCTCCACAATTGTTTTTAATATAAAAGATAAACACTTACCAATTGTATTTACATAAAAAAATATTAAAAAGAAAGAAGATATTATCTAAACAAGTTTAATAGAAACTTTATCATTATCTGAGATAATCGAATTTCTTCCCTTTTATTTATAAAGTTTACCTCAGGTCATTGTTCATGAATCGATAAATTCTGTTGTTTCATTTTTAGCCTGTAAAAAAAACAGCAGCTTGGTTAAATAATCTTTATTTCCTCTTTATTTATTTACTGTTTTTTGGGGATCTGAAATGGTAATCATTTTACCAATGTGATGATTACATTCAGAAATGGCGGGTTTTTTTTGTTTGTTTGTGATTAAAAAAACTATTTCTTTTGTAAAATGTCAAATGTAATAGTATTAGTTAATAATGATTATCTTACCCTTTCGAAATGATTAACTTTTGTGTAGATTATTCTTTAGTTAAAAAGGGTGTCATGAAGATGTACTTTGTCAAAGATATGTTTTTTTTAAAAGTTGGGATGTTATCGAATAAAGGAAGCATTGGATAGTTGTTTTGTTCTAGTATGGGTTTGTACTAAGACGAAACAGGTATTGAGTTCTTTCTGGTTTTCAACTTTATCCTGACTGTTATATCCGAGGAAGACTAAAGGAATGATGACTGCCAAGATTAATTTGTGGTCTATTATTGTATGTATTCTTGTTGTATAATTATGAAGTAACTAGATTACTATATATATCCTTTGTTTTGTGTTGTGATGTTGTCGAGTATGTCTGAACATAAACTACGTATGCCTGAAATATGATGTTAGTATGGTGGAGGCCGATTTCTCTATCCTGGACTCAATAATCAGTGGACGATCAATAGGGGATTAGAATTGGCTCATGGCTTCTAATGCTGGTTGACATATCGTTAGTTAACTAAGTGACGAGGTCGTAAATATCGATATTTTGATTAGTGGTTTTGTCATGTGATATTAGTGGGCTGCCATAAGTCATAGGATTGAGATTCTTTTTCACTTCAAAATGTATTATCTAGTATTCATTGTTTGTTGGGTTTAGGTGTCTTAAGAAATAACAAGATTTTTGGAAAAAATATTTACACACTGAAAGCTGTAGATGAACTTATCTTCGCTTGTAGTTAAGTCCATCTAAAATATCACATTTCATTATTGTAGTCACCAACGGATAGTTTAAGGGTTATTTAAATTTTGTCAAAATTTTCTGTTAGCTGTTAAGATATGTTTATAACGTTAAGAATACTGTAAATAAAAAACACACAACAAAATCGCTGGTTATTTTGTTGCGCAAGTAATAAACGGTTAACACATGTAATCAATGAAATAAATTTTTCAATGTTTCACTTGATGATAAACTGCTCTGAGTTTCTTCGGGGAAATAAAGGAATTCAAGATCATTAACGACAATTAAGGTCTGTAAACCAAACTATCCTAAAAAGATTTTCCAATCTAGTTTAAATGTTGACAATTTTGGTTGAGGCTATCTGCGTTATTTTTCAGAGTTTAATAATTATAATACATCCAGCATTTTCGGATATTTTTTCGTATAATTAGTAGATGATTGCTGGATGTCATAGTGTAATTTATACCAAAGATTTTAGTCTGATAATTGTATGATATCCATATTACTCTACTATGAACATTTTGGACAGAGAATATAAAGTTTATGAAGGTTAGGGCTTGAAACGAAATCTCACGAATGAGTAATTCTCTATGGCGTTTCAATACAGCCTATAAAAGTAAGGGGATTGTGTAGGATGTAAGATTTTGTTCACAGATATTTTCAAAACCTTGCTTATATCTGGCATGATCGTCGAATGATCAGCTCTTAAGTTAGATATAGGGTCCTAGGTACATATAGGGAACCAGTTGATGTGAAAGTGTATCTTTATTTAACAGTTTCGTTGTAAGATTTGCTACATCTGCTCAACCGCCGCCTACGTTGTCAAACAACATCGTTTGAAGTAGGTGTAGGTTTTAAGATGACTGTAGGCAGCCAAACTTAAACATGATCTCATTCCATTAAACTATTAATTATTGAACTGGGCCATGCTGGTAGTTTCAGACTATTTTATTATGAACTGTGAGATAAGTCTAATCAGGAATTAGAGGAATTGGGTAATACAGTCCAAATTCAGTCTCAGTAGCTTAAAGTCATTTGCATATTATCCTCCTCTAAGTTTTGAACCGCATTAAAATTTTCTATTTTCATAATTCATCCCTTATTTTCCATTTGTATTCTCTAGTACCAAGTCTTTCGTTCAGTCACTTATACTACCACTACTTCAACACAAATTATTTTGTTCGGATACTCAATCCCAAAGTGTCACTCTGATACGATATTGAATCCTGAGGCTAGACACAATTGTGCCAGACCCTATATTGTTTATGAATGACTGAATCATTGCGAAAATTTTCATTTTCAACCGTACATTTTATAGCTAACTTATTCTATTCGATTTCTTATTATACCTAGATCTTAAACGTAGTGATCATGGTGTTTATCGATGTACAGTTTGGAATCAAGCTGGTGAAGCACAAGCAATCGGACATGTTTTAGTACATTCTGAACCACAATTAGAATTAATGTCATTTGGGTATAATTATTTTCTAGGCCATAAACCATGGAAAGCATCATGTGTTGTAAAAGGTTATCCATTGGCAGGACAATATACAAATAACAGTCAGATTAACCAACATAAGAATCGTGAACAATCCATTGAAACAAATGATTCAATCATCACTGGAAAACAAACTGCTGATAAAGATAATGGTATTCGTGGATTAGGACATACAGATCATAATCAACAATCAAATTCTAACAGTGTAACATCATCAATAAGAATGAAAATTTTCAATATAGAAGGAGAACCATTAGATCGTGTAGAAATTAATCAAATTGATTATAAATCAGGAAAATTCACCGGGTAAATTATGTTAATAACGGGATAAATTGATTTTAATACCTTTTCAAATTAATTTTAGCATTGTTTTTCATAGGATTTCTTAACAGTTGGTCATCATTTGTTTGAATATATTTGTTATCTACAGGGTTTTAAGGTTGTATACACTTCGAGAGATCAAGCTTAAATAGTATATGAATTTAGGTTGATACCATGAATGGATTAATGTTAGTTCACCATTAAAAACTTGGAAACACGGGACGGTTGTTTCGTCCTATTGTGAGACTCCTCAGCAATGCTTCCAAGTCTTTCATGGTGGTCTAGATTCAATTGACTCATGATCTCAATTATTAAAATTACTATGAGATACACAAGAACCCTTCTGATATTAATCAACATGTGCTAACTAGTAACCGGTTTCAAGGGGTATATCCTGGAGTTTTAGTGAGAAGCAGTGACCAGTGGAGTTCAACCGGGTTTGTTGTGAGATAGTAATTCACTAAAAACAATGGTGGATGTATCACTCAATTTTGTGGATTAGTTGAAGCTATAAATTAACACCGTTGGATGCCTATCGGCTCAGTGGTCTAGTGGTTAAGCGCTCGCGTGTGAGACTGATGGGTCCTGTGTTCGGATCGTGGAGTGTGGATGCGCACTGCTGAGGACTCAACAATAGGACGAAACGACCGTCCATTGCTTCCAGGTTTTCCATGATGGTCTAGCTTCAATTGATTCATGCTCTCAACTATTGAAGTTTCAAATTATTTAAAAGATAAAACAATGATAAAACTTATTTAAATTTTTCCCTAATTCATTTATTTTTAACTAACAAAATATTTTGTTTATTTATTTGGAATATTTTTTTGAAAAGCTTGTCTTTATGGTAAACAATTTAACTAAGAACTGATGTTTATTGCATATTACTGAACTAATATGAATTCAGTAGTATTAATATGTCCAATAAAGGATTTCAAGTTATCACAATAAATAGGTAATTAAAAAAAGAATTTAGTTTGTTTACGGAAATAATTCGATATGATTTGTTTGTTTGTTTGTGTTTTACGCGTTCAGTGATGTATGAAGTAGTTGTCATATGCCTTTTTCATCATACGATTATATGTTTGAGTTTGATGTATGTATGGGTGATATAAGATTAGGAATTGGATGGATAAAAATGATATTTTACAAGATTTGCATACTTACTTACTTACTTACTTACTTACTTACTTACTTACTTACTTACTTACTTACTTACTTACTTACTTACTTACTTACTTACTTACTTACTTACTTACTTACTTACTTACTTACTTACTTACTTACTTACTTACTTACTTACTTACTTACTTACTTACTTACTTACTTACTTACTTACTTACTTACTTACTTACTTACTTACTTACTTACTTACTTACTTACTTACTTACTTACTTACTTACTTACTTACTTACTTACTTACTTACTTACTTACTTACTTACTTACTTACTTACTTACTTACTTACTTACTTACTTACTTACTTACTTACTTACTTACTTACTTACTTACTTACTTACTTACTTACTTACTTACTTACTTACTTACTTACTTACTTACTTACTTACTTACTTACTTACTTACTTACTTACTTACTTACTTACTTACTTACTTACTTACTTACTTACTTACTTACTTACTTACTTACTTACTTACTTACTTACTTACTTACTTACTTACTTACTTACTTACTTACTTACTTACTTACTTACTTACTTACTTACTTACTTACTTACTTACTTACTTACTTACTTACTTACTTACTTACTTACTTACTTACTTACTTACTTACTTACTTACTTACTTACTTACTTACTTACTTACTTACTTACTTACTTACTTACTTACTTACTTACTTACTTACTTACTTACTTACTTACTTACTTACTTACTTACTTACACCTGTTACTCCTCGTGGAGGACCATAGGCCTCCCATCAGCACACGCTATCCAACCCTGTTCTGGACAATCCTTTCCAGCTCTCTCCAATTGTTATTCATCAACTTCATATCTGATTCTATTTCCCAACGTAATGTGTTCTTTGGCCTTCCTCTTTTCCGTTTACCTTCAGGATTCCAAGTTAGGGCTTGACTCGTGAGGCAGTTTCATGATTTGCGTAATATATTTCCTATCCATTTTCATTGTCTTTTCCTAATGTCTTCTTCCCCTGAGAGTTGATTTTTTCTCTCCCAGAGAAGGCTGTTACTGATAGTATCCGGTCAATGGATGTTGATTATTCTGCGTAGACAACTATTTATAAATACTTGTACCTTCTTGATGATGGTTGTAGTAGTCCTCCAAGTTTCAGCTCCGTACAGTAGAACTGCCTTGATGTTCGTATTAAAGATTGTGACTTTGATATTGGTTGAAAGGTGTTTTGAGTTCCATATATTGTTCAATTGTAGGAATGTGGCCCTTGCTTTGCCAATCCTCATTACAAGATTTAAAGAGTATAAAATTCGAACAGCCTGATTTTTTTGATAAATTTAAATGGGGTGATAATGATAAGATTCTCAAAGAAAAGAAATGAAATTCATCAGCGTATTTCAACGCTTTGCATCAGATGTTAACAGCTTGAAGTTATAATTAGTAATATGAATTTTTTTTAAAATGTTTTACTTATCTTGTTTAATAAAAGTGAGTTCAAGCAGATACATAATATATATAGGAGAGTAACTTTATTGAAATCATGAACCGATCTAATTTAGACTATTATTGGGACTAAATTTGAGGGGAAATTCCTGAGGTTCTAGGAAAAGAGCTAATTCATGAAGGCTGTGAATAAGTTACTCGTTGAAGACAATGTCGCGGATTGATTGAAGTTAGATATTGACACCGTCAGTAATTTAGAGGTTAAATGGTTGCGCATGAGACCAAAGGCTCTGGATTCGATTCCCTTGTGTTGGGTCTCATGGGTGAACACATCTGAGGAGTCTCATACTAGAACGAAACGGCCACTCAATACTTTCAGGTTTTCAAAGGTAGTCTAATATTGATCGATTCATGGTTTTAATGAAATTCAACACTCGATTCAATTCCTTACTGACAATACAGGAATAATATCATAAACAATAATTCAGTGATAAAATGAAAATTTTGTTTTTGATAGTATTTTTAATTGTAACTTCGAATTGTTTGTACTTAATGTGACACCTTAACATAGAATTATGCAGTCATCACATTCTAGAAATCATGTCCTCCTCGGTTTATTTAAATATAAGTAAACAATTGTTTTCAGTTAGATCGTCATCAGACTTTACTCTAATATACATGGATATTTATACGAATATCTACGAGTAAAACCTCGTTTTTCCAACTCTTTAGGTGGACTCCCCATGTTCACCGGCCCGGCGCCGGACATTCGCTTTTCGCTTTTCATCCTCTCAATTTCGTAAACAACTTCCATGGCGCGATAAGACATTGAGTAGGACTTCCCCGTCAGAGGCTATATACGCGTGGCCGCGTGAGAGCATTTTGAGAGGGCGAGACCTCCCCACTCTCGGCCGTACCTGAGCATTTGGTTGTGTACTATACGATGATATGGAATTTTCTTTCCATAAGTAATACCCAATAAAAAACTTAGCGTTAATAACTTTATTCATAAATTTATACAAAACTCTAAATTAAAAAAGTTACACATTGATTGATAATGTAAGGAATTGTGTTAATAAACGTGATTGATAGAATTTGTTATAACTTGTCGTTTTGAATACTGATTGTCTTGGCTATCATCCATTGATTAGTTAATATAATAGAGGGATCTGTAGAAACTAGAGTAGTTAAGTGATGAATTCGTTGACTTTGACATTGATTCTCTTATGCTAGAATTGTATAGGGTGAATCAAATTTTACAAAACTGAAGATATTATCTTGCTGTTGAATATAATTTAGCATAAATCTTATAAAACAGAATTTCATACTAATTATTTCCAGTTATAGTAATATGGTATTGATAAACTTTTACGTAATAACCTTATATTACTAAAAAGAAGACTTCTTGGATGAATATTACATCATAATTTCAATGCTTTTTTTTATGGATTCTGTTTAATATCTATGATACTACTGGTAATATATAGAAGTGGTAACTACTGTAATTCGTACGACATGAAGTAAAAACACAAAGACTGGTATAAATGAAAATTTATTAACAATTTTAATGGTTGAGATCATGAGTTGATTGAAGCTAGACCACCATGGAAAACCTGGAAGCACTGGACGGCCGTTTCGACCTATTGTGGGACTCCTCAGCAGTGCTCATCCACCATTCCACTTCGTGACTTTGTTAAACTAAATTCATTCATTTAATATACTGATTTTATTCTTATTTAATGATAAGTTTTAATGAACATTATGTTAATTAAAAGATACAATAGTTTACTGTAATAACATAAACAAAGGTCATATAGAATAACATAAAGAATATTCATACCTGTCATATTGAATAAACCTCACATTTAATTAATATATAAAATATTGACCTGAAATAAGGTTATACTGAAAATATGAAAACGATAAATTAATGTTATATTATATAAAATATTAGATTGAGACTGAGGAGTCCCATAATAGGACGAAACGGCCGTCTAGTGTTTCCAGGTTTTCTATGGTTGTCTAACTTTAATTAACTCATGATGTCAAGTAATGAAATAAAAACAAAGTAAAAACATTCACATTGGGAATAAAAATAAATATTATGAAACAGATAGTGACTGGTTGTTGAATCTAGTATACACGTTTTACTCTATTTTGAGACCCGTTAGCTGAATGTGCCTGGATTACATGATAAGCTACCATCCATCTTTGCTTATAATACTTGTGATTTACTTAAGACAATCTGCATAGAATGTACATATGGTGATAAGTGAGACAGATCAATTGCAATCCTAAACATCAATAAAAAGATTCTAATAAACGATATAAAAATGAATTGAACATTGTGAAATATTATACTGAGTTAGAAACAACATAAATTTATTTAGTTATTTCAACTTTTATATATTGTATAGAATTAATGCCACTTATGAAATTCATATGAATCAACGTTATGGACGTGAAGCTATTGTACGCTGTGAATATACACATACAGATAATAGAACAATTTATCGTGAAACATTTCTACGTGAAGCAACAAAACCAACTGCACCAAATGTAAGCTATTATTATAACTATTCTTTACATTGATCTCTATATCTTTGATATTCATTTCATTTAAAGGAATTGTGTAGTGGTGATGATATATAAAATGAGCGTTTTTACTCTATTTAACACTTGTCTACCAGATTTACTCTCACTCTAATGTTAGCAAACACGTTCATCCTCGAGCCTAATACCTTTTACTTTAAGCATTTAATATTTGATTCTATGACCTACTGATTCCAAATAGCTATTAAGAGTATCAAATTTATTTTTAAGAGCTCATCTTTTTTTCTCATTCCCGGTAGTTTGAACTACATTTTCATCAGTTTTTTGTTGAGATATGTGCATATGGTAACAGTTATCATTTGTAATTAATTTATTTTAGATTACTGTTTTATGTACTGGTCCACGTGCAATTGTATTCGGAATAACAAATCCCAAATTAAAACCTGACAATATGCCTACAGAACGTATTGTTACACAAAAGGTTATATTTGCACCTGCAAAAGTAAGTGAGTGGTAAATAACTATTTTGCGAATTGTTAATTTAAAACCTTTACAATTACTGATAAACAACTGTGGTTTGCTAAGGTCTTATGAAAAGAAATCAAAATTTTTATTTGAAGTCATCTTTGAATGGTAGGTAGTTTCTTGATCTTCTGACTTATATCATTTTCAGTATGTCCAGTAACTGTTTAGTTAGTTGATCATAAGAACCTGGTATCTATGTGGATTGGTTTAAGCTGCTATAGTATATCAATATAGTCAGATGGAATCAACAACTCAAATATTAGAGTACTGGAAGTAGTAAAATCATCTGTGGTAGTAGAAAACACTAAGTATATTGAGACATGATTTTTAAAAAATGAATGAATTCCAAAGATGAACAGTATTTAATCATTTTATATCTTAAAATATGATGGAATTCAAAAAGTGAGCCATTGTTAATGGTTCTGAACTATGTCACTTAATGTATGAAACTGTTATTTACGAAAATTGAGGAGACTCTAACTTGGTAGCTTGCTTCTACCGAAACGTTTCAGTCCGAATCAATGGCCTTAAGTTCTAGTGATACGTCTTGGTTTGGCCACTTACTATCTTCCCACCTATTCCAAATCACAAAACATTGAAATTTGCAGTATGCATTGGTTGAGCTTACGTAATACATGTCTCGACCACCTTAGTTAATGAAAATTCACTAACTCATCAATCAATTCACCATCTTTACCTGGTGCTATGTGTTTAAACTCAACACTGCTCTTTCACTGGTTCCAGCAGATGTGAGTAATGCTTCCAAGAAATACTGGTCATCTCCAAATATCCCCTATTTTTAAGCGCTACATTTCATTTCCATAAAATAGAACACAACAAATTTCTGTTTAGTATACTTATTTTTTTTGGTTAGCAGATAGATGTCTGACGTACTCCACAAGTGATGTGCATCATCGGAAACCAAGTAGGCTTTCTGAATTCGTTTAGTGACTTTGTCAGAAACCAATTTGTCATCGTTTCTGACGAAATCTCAGCTAGACAGTAACTCGAAGCTAGCCAATTTTCTATATGGCTAGAAAAAATGTCGGCAAAAGTATAATTCATATTTCTAACCCTCATATCGAATTGTTAATCCTAATCCTAATTCCTCACGCTAATTTCTAATCCTCTTTTAACCCTAGTAAGTTGGTCTACATTTTCAAGTTCACTTAAGCATTCCTCGAAGGTCGTTCATAAATTATAATCTCACTACTGATGCTATTCGAAAATATCCTCTGTGAACATATCCAGTGAGGGAGAATCAGACATTGTTGATGAAAAGCACGAACGTAGTAAAAGTTATCCATTTAAATAAAGTGTAAAGTTAAAATGACACTTTCACATTCAGTAAACACTAACTAAATGATTGTAAAAATGACTGAAAGTGCTAAATATAGTACAGTTATTAAACATTGAAGTAACACAGTCAGTAGTCTGAGTTTAAACTTTTTATTACTTAACTTTAAGTTTTAAAGATTTAATTTGTTTCTTCTTTATTTATTCATAGACATTTCACTTATCATCTACATTGGCAAGTTTATCAGTTTATTTAGATTCAGAAGGACAACCGTCTGCATCACCAGCTAATGATAATGATCCATTAGATAGAACTATATTAAATTCAATTAGTGCGCAACCACAAACTGCTGTTATACCGGTGAAAAATTTAATACCAGATACAGAATATGTATTTGAATGGTCATCTGGTAATGAATTCGGTTTAAGTGTAATGATACAATTTACTTTATGGACTAAAAAACTTGAAACTGCACCAACAATTAAAGTGAGAGCGTTTTTCGTTTTTCTTCTTTTAGTTTCTCTATTCCTATAGCTATCGCTGTTGTTAGTGTTTAAAGCAAAGGATTAAACTTGATCTGTACTGAGTGATTAGACAGTGTAGTTAAACCGTGTCGGGTGTTAGGCAGTTACTCAGCAAAATCAATTTGAGATGATTACGCAATATAGCGAACTGATTGGAGTTTGACACTAACACTGTTAGATCCCGGAATTCGCGCTAGACCGAAGGTCCTGAGTTCTATCCCCTCTGGTAGGAGTCTGCGGATGGGCACTGTTTAGGAGTCCTTACTGAGACGAACCGGATGTCCAATACTTCCAGTTTTTCAATGGTAATTTAACCTAGTTCGGTTCATAATTTCGAATAAATTCAACACTCGCCACATTTATATACTGATAAATATGACGTTGATCAGTATTCCTTGATAAGTAATTGTGATCATATCATTTCTGTTGAAGGTTACTCGTGACCCGAACATCATAAAAGGTTCGAATGCAATAGAGACCATTAATTCCTTCACAGTTATGAATATGCCTTGCTGAACAATAATAACTATCATGAAACCTAAGTCTACGATTTCCAGAAGACTGTCTACAACTAACTGATATTAAAACATAGTACATGAAATATCGGGTCTCAATATACACAAAGGGAAAAGCGAAATTCTCCGATACAACACAGCATGCACCAATCCAATCACAATTGACGGAGAAGATTTGGAAGATGTAAAAACCTTTACGTATTTGGGCAGCATGATTAATGAACAGGGTGGATCTGATGCGGATGTGAAGGCGCGGATCGGCAAAGCAAGAGCAGCATATTTACAACTGAGGAACATCTGGAGCTCAAAGCAACTGTCAACCAACACCAAGGTCAGGATTTTCAATACAAATGTCAAGATAGTTCTACTGTATGGGGCAGAAACCTGGAGAACTACGAAAGCCATTATCCAGAAAATACAGGTGTTTATTAACAGCTGTCTACGCAAAATACTTCGGATCCGTTGGCCGGACACTATTAGCAGCAACCTACTGTGGGAAAGAACAAACCAGATCCCAGCGGAGAAGCGCTGTAAGTGGATAGGACACACACTGAGGTAAGCACCCAACTGCGTCACAAGACAAGCCCTCACATGGAATCGTCAAGGCCAAAGGAGGTGAGGAAGACCAAAGAACACATTACGCCGGGAAATGGAAATAGACATGAGAAATATGAACAAGAATTGGATGGAACTAGGAAAGAAGGCCCAGGACAGAGTGGGTTGGAGTAAGTAAGTAAGTAAGACTAGTGAACTTACTATTACTTAGTTGGTTGAAGTTGATCAGTGCTAAAGCACTAGACAAACATAAAATCAAACACTGCTCAAGGATTAGTCAATACCTATCAACGTTTGTAGTACTTAAAGAGAGACTGATTCTTATACTACTATTTACATCTTAGAGTAATGTATAACATTAACTGTTATCAATCAAAAAATAAACTACTAAAAATAACAATGTAGGGAATAATCATTTTAAAAGTTTCCTTATATGATCAAGTAACATTTCACTTGGCAACACATAATACTTTACATTTTCATTCATAAAGCAGAGATCATATTTATTCAATCTCATTAATCATTCACAAGATTACGTAATATGATTAATTCATAATTAATGATAAATTATATATATTGACTATGATAAAATCTCTTAGGGAAAATTATGTTCCATGTATATGTATTATATCTTCTAAATAATTCATTGTATATATATATTGATTTATTCATTACTATAAGGAAGGGATGTTTAGAAAGGAAAGTTCCCTTTCAAACAGAATTTTAAAAAACAGTATTGTTTCCGAAACTAGGATAACATAAACATATAGATATAGTTGACGAATAGGAAATACAAAAAAAAACGATGACAGGAAAAAACAAACTGTGTAGCTTGATCAATAATATAAAGACTATATAGCTATTTAGGTAGATAGAAAGAGAAATATAAAATGGTTCCGTTTAGATGAATTTATTCATTGAAATGTATTGATTAGAGTAGCTTAATATTGGTCCATATAATCTACGGTGTAGTCTTAATTTTAGTAAGTGTCAATAGCTCTTAAACATAAACATATAGATATGTCACTGATAGAGTTATATTGGATTTCGGTATAACAAAAAAGAAGCAAGAACAATTAAGGTATAGTACAGAGATAAACAGGAAATTTACTTTAAAGATTTTGTATAAAATTCAAAATGTGTGACCAAATTTCATCAGATAAAATATGTGACGCAAAAGTACTGTATAGAGACAAACCAAACCAAATTAAAAAGTATCAGAAAGGGGTTTTTATGAAGATTGTAATAATTTTAATAGTTGAAATCTGGAGTCATCTGAAGCTAGACCACCATGGGAAACCTAGAAGTACTGGACGGAGTTCAATCGGGTCTGTTGTGAGATAGTAACTCACTGAAGACAATAATGGATGTGTCGCTCAATTTTGTGGATTAGTTGAAATTATACATTAACGCCCTTGGATGCTAGCTCAGTGGTCTAGTGGTTAAGCGTTCGCGCGCGAGACTGATAGGTCCTGAGTTTAGATCGTGGGGGTGGATGCACACTGCTGAGGAGTTTAACAATAGGACGAAACGGCCGTCCATTGCTTCCAGGTTTTCCATGATGGTCTAGCTTCAATTGACTCATGATCACAACTATTAAAATTAAAAAGGTTTATTTTGCATTTCTAAGCAAAATTCAAATAGCAGACAAAACGACTAGTTGAAATATATTCGTACAGTTTTTTAGAATGTTTTGAATGATTATACAAATTCAAATTCCTAATTCTTTTTATGTAGATTTATATAACAGACGAATGAATACTGCCAATAAATCTCAACGCTAAATACTCAATTCTGAAATAAATTTTTCCCCTATTGGCTTAATATTTGATTAGAGAATTAATCAGATAGAATCTATCTATCCATATAGATACAAAGTAGTTTCGAAATACAGTTGATGTCAGTTTGTGATAAAAACTCTCATTTTGAATCCCGTGATTCTAGTCATTAATCTCAAGTCCTCACCAAAAACAAAAAAGACAACGTGAGACTCTTAAAAGTCTACCTGGTATACTATGCAAGTTTTAGAAGACTTATAATTAACTTTTGAAGGTCTTTAATATAGTCATTAGCTTTGTAAAATCTATTTACACTTTATAACATTATTGTTTTCTTGTCTATAAACTGAATGAAAATCCATTGACGTTAATTTAATCTTGTCCCTATACTATAGTTAGCTAAAATAGTTACATATATACTTCATAACGTTTGAAATTGTTAGTAAAACGTTTGTTTGTCATCACCGAACTACAATGACAATCTTAAATATATAGGGTCTTCTCTATTTTACTTATTTATTCTGGATAACAAGTGAATGAACAAGATTTTTTTTCAACAGTCGAGATCATGAGTCAATTGAAGCTAGACCACTATGGAGAACCTGGAAGCATGGACGGTCGTTTCGTCCTATTGTGGAACTTCTCAACAGTGCTTTCAAGTTTTCCATGATGGTTGAGCTTCAGTTCACTCATGATCTCAACTACTGAAATTACAAAACCCCCTCTGATATTAATTTATTTTGTTCATGACAAAGAAATCATTCTGTTAGTAGTTCACCAAAATAGGAATGCTGAAATAGTTAACAATCTCTATGCATAACCTCTTAATGTCGATATTCATATAACTATCATTGCCATTATTTAATTTTCTCAAGTCTTCTGAAAATTTAGTAATCAGTATGATGAATTCCTTATAAAACTATTTATGGTTATGTAAAAGATCCAGAAAAAAACCCGCTTAATATGGATAAACTCTCATCCGGATCAATGATGCTACATGGTGATATTCTTGTAAAAAACAAGGGTTATGAAAACTAATAATTAACATTTAAAAATCAATAAACTTTTTATAAAACCACTAAATTTTAATAGTTTTTTATAACTTCTATTGAGAAATAGTGTTCATTTATTACAGGTAGGTTCTTTGCTGATTAGCTAAAAAGAAAATCACACGATCGTTCTAGTAATTATTTAAGATTCCCTTTACAGTATACCTTGATCATAGTATGGCAATAAATATTTCGTTTGCAAAAATGCTTAGTTACTAGTTTAATCTGTGGTGTTAGTATTTAAATTTTAATAATTAACTGAATTTGTGGTTGAGTTTGTAACCGTAATATACCAGGAAAACAAGTGAGTTAGACGATGAACCTAGTTTGTACGAATAGATATGTTCTATCACCAATCAACTGTTTTCTGATATCTAACGTTTCCTATTAGTGTTTATTGTCATTTTAAACAATAATAACACTAACTGAAACTTGAAACTAAAAAATTGGATATAAGGATAGACTAAATTTATTCTATGATCAATATTTTTGTAAGCACTTGAAAACTGATGAATATCCTGATGAACGTTTAACTATTTAATTAATAGGATAAACTCTATTGGAATTCGCGATCTTTTCATTCTATATAGATCTCCTTCGAATTTCATCGTTACTCTAAAGGATTAGATAATCCGGTCATTAAATGTGAAACTGTTCAATATTGGAATGATTGATGACAATGTTAATAAACAGTTGTTTAATGGTGCTTAATTTTCAGTTGCAACCAAATTATCAGCTAGTTAGCAACAAAGTAGAACGTCGTACGTATGTACATCAGTTCAAGTTGCCATATCACATTAGCACAGAGATGCAGTTGTCGATTCAAATCCCATATTGGTAGAGGCAGTAAAAGTATAAGTAGTAATCGGAAGGATTAGGGTTTGAAGATGTTATTCAAGGAGTATAACCCAGTGAAATAAATTTCGAAAGAGAAAAGAAAAGGGACATGAAGAATTCAGAAGATTAGAATTTCGGAGAACACAAGGAGTGGATGCACCTACGCCATTGCAAACGATTGTGACTCATGTCATTCAAGATCTGTAACCATCAGTTGCTATTGTCTCGCGGATCCCAACCAAACTGAAGTCAATTTGTGTCGAATACTACCGAAAATTTTTTCACTTATATCAAACTCATTTATACTTCTTATTAGATTATCATTCTAGATTAGTGGAAGAAGAGAAAATGGATCATTAATGAGTTCAAAAGAGATCCTATTACGCAGAACTACATCTTAGTCTAATTGAATATCTTGATTATTTCATGCAAATCGGTTACTTCAGATATCAATATATATATATTCCATCTTTAATTTTCTTCAGCAATTGAATTCACTAGTAGTTTCCAGTAAAATAATTAGAGCATGAATGAATGAATAATATTCTTTAAATATATACATTAATGGTCATTTCTAATAATATCCCTTCATTGATTGATCAATAAAACTTTTATCTTTTGATTGGATAAAATATATATTAGATATTTGACCATGATCATTACCTACCCATCTACCCAATAATGATAATAACTAGAATATATCTATTTCATTTCTGAAATCCATTACATTTCTGCGGTAAAAATCTAATAATTACATTCATTATTATTGAGTTACATTAACTTATTTCAAGTTGGCTGTACCGTTTATACTGACACATCATTTGACTTGCGCCCTCAGCTAGATTTTCAATAAATCCCTTAAACACATCAGCCAGTAACGGTCCTAATGTGTTCACACTCAAAAGTGAATTTTACATTATTTGTACACAATAATAATAAGCCTTTAAGGGTTTTAATAGGAAATGGTAATGAAAGGTTATTCAATGAGATATAATCATATAAAATATCAATAGTTTTCCTAAGAGGTACATTTTTAAATAAAGTGTTCACATCAAAGGATTACATTGTCTTTGTCTTTATATTCATTTCCTTTAAGTACTTAATTAATCCAAATGATTTATTATCCATAATGGTTATCACATTGTTTTCGTGTACTTTATTTTTCTTTGTTACGGCTTACCTTTAACCTGTCTTGTTGACCTGTTGATTTTTCATATAAAGTGTTTTAATAAGTATATGTGAGATCAGACTGATTTGGAAATGTATTGCGCAAATATATAACATAATTCTGATAACCTTCGTCTTCTCATTGCATTATCGAAGAAAATACAATAATGTGTTGAAACTGAATAAAACATTGATAACTTTTTTGGACACAATAGTTAAATATAGGTGTCATTACCATGGTTTGACTTCATAATTTCGAATAAATTGAGCATTGGATAGATTGTTATAAATAAATTAATATATTTGTAATATCCAAATAAGTGGAAAAATTAGATGTTCTGACGTTTCGTGACTTAGTGTAAGCCACTTCTTCAGAGACTAGATAACCAAATTAGAATTAATCCACGTTTAAATAGTACAAAGGAACAACAAGAATATTATGTCATTGTTCCTTTGTACTATTTAAACGTGGATTAATTTTAATTTGGTTTTTTATTCTCTGAAGAAGTGGCTTACACTAAGTCACGAAACGTCAGAACACCTAATTCTTCTAATCATTGGGATATTACAAATATATTATTTATTTATAACAACAGTCAACTGTTCAAAATCTTCTTGTTATTCATAACAAGTTATTTAGTCTTATAGGCTAATGCGATAATTGTTTACCCTGAATAGTAATATTTTTTTAAAAAAAGAAATGGTTTAAATCACAGACTGACTATATCAGGGCAATCATTGAAACCAGCTGTTTCATCATTGTATGAAATTCTGTAGAAATGTACATCAACATATTCACCCTGAGTACTTTCTGTTTTGAGTTAACAGTCGAAATTACTTTTAACACACTTTTTAAGCTGCAATCCAGTAGTTGCAATTTCTAATCAGTTACTGACACTGTAGTATGTGCTATTATATCGACATAAGTAGTATATAACGCTAGTCAAGAATAGAATATCTGGCAGCAGAAGGTCAAGAAGATCGAAGAGGAAAGAACGGAAACAGAAAGCAATCGGTATAGAAATGAAGCAACAATAAAATCTGAGGCAATTAATGAAGATTTTGCGAATGAAGTATTGGAGTATGGTTTTTCTATTTTATCACGTAACTCTGTAATTTTGTGCTGAATATAATCGGTTGTCCTCACCTGTGTTCTCTTTCACTGCAATATTATTTAATTTGGAGATAATTAAATTAATTCCCAGTAGAACTATTTTCATATACTAAGAATTATAATAAAATACTATTATATTGAGCAATGATGGATTGTAGCCAGCAGTGGAATTCAAGATTCGCGTTTCATCCTATCTCGGGCTCGTCAACTATAAGTACCTGCATCTTAGAGTTAATGCTCACTCTGGGACCAGAACCCAGTACCGTTCGCTCTAAACGCCCTTGCATTATCCACCAAGCTACTGACTCCTAATAAGCACTAGCTTGTGCAATAAGATGAAGCTTAATTAATTTTTGTATTGGCATATATACATTCTGTGCGGAGACTGATCAATTCCGGTCCTAAACATCACTGGGAAGATTCAAACAAACAGTACAAAATGAATTAAAACATTTTGATAGTTTTAAAAACAGTAATAAAAGTGGATGGGTATTTTGTAACTAGTTTTCGAATTCATACAAATGCTCCATTTTATCTTTTACATAGAATACAATAAGAAATTCTTTAACGTTTAACTTAATTATGATTGCATAATTATTCCCATTTGTTTATTATTAATAAATTATCCTTATGTTTATTTTTGTAATAGAATATTGTATTCTTGAGTCCTACATCTCAATATCTTCGATTTTCTACATTTCTGGGTGATCCATGCCCATATGAAGGTGGTGCAAGACCAGAACTATCAGATTTATTAGTTAGATATCGTTTAGCTAAATCTAATTCTACTTATGATCCAACACAATTAATTGGTTATGGAGATTGGTCTGATGTGGAAGTTTGTAAAAATTTAGCTTCAGCATCAACACTTGATATAAATTATTCAAATAATAATCAAAATGATAATATTGAAAATTTTAATGTTGTTGGTACAGAAGAAGATGAATATACTGGCATTAAATGGGCTGGTGATAATCCAATACCATGTGAAATACCAGTACCAGATACCCAAGTAATTTATGAAGTAAGTTTAAATGATTTATTTGTAAAGGTTTATAAAAGCCATTGCCTATTTGTACTCAATAGGTACTGTGTTAACGTTTAGAGCGAAAGGTACTGGTTTCGACTCTTCTAGTGAATATCAACACTGAAATGCAGGTATATTCAACTGAAGTATTCAAAACTTACAAAACATTCGTCTTGTATTCTATTATTAGTTACTATCCAACTTAATTAAATTAGTTTAGACCAGTTGGGTTTTATAAGCAAAGATGGATAGGGGCTAGCAGTGAAATCCAGGATGCACGTTTCATCCTATTTGGGACTCATCAGCTGGATGTACCTGCATCTCAGAGTTGATGTTCACTCTGGGATTCAAACTCAATACCGTTCGCTTCTAACGCCATCGCGTTATCCACTTAGCTTATAAAGCTTGTGACTTCAGGCAATTTTGAGGCAGTTCGCACAGGATGCATGTATGCCATCAAGAGACTGATCAATTGCAGTCCTAAATGACATTAGGAAGATATAATTAAACAACACCAAGTGAATACAGTTGGGTCTTTTTAAAAGACAAATAAGTTTCGTCGAAGTATTTGCAATGATAAATAATTATTTATCTATAAGTTATGCATTATATCTGAACAAATCTTGTACAATACATGTATGTCAATATTACCGAGAGCATATTCCACACTTTATACACATAAACACAGTACTACTGACAAATATCAGGAAAAATTATACGAAAATTTATATTGTAATAATGTTTGTTTTTCTCAAATATTACCAAACATTTCAAACATATAATGACTTTAAAGAGGAAGAATGTATTTGTAAAATCTCAGCGAATAAATTTGAAGTAAATCAACGTTTCGCCTGGCAATCTGATCTGAAAGATGGTTGCCCAATTTTGTGGATTGGTTGAGGTTAGATATTAACACCGCTGGATGCCAATTCCGTGATCTATAGGTTAAGCGTGAGCACGCGAAACCAAGGCTCCGGTTTCGAATCACGCCAGCGGGATCGTGGATGCGCACTGCTGAGGCGTCTCACGATAGGACGAAATGGCTGTCCAGTGTTTCTAGGTTTCAATGGTGATCTAACATTAATCGGTTCATGATCTCAATCAAAAACATGTATTCTTTCACAAAATCAATCTAATCACCTTACAACACCTCGGTCAAAAATGAAAGTAAAAACGTTGACCAACTTAGAGCCAAGATGTTACCGTATAATGGGGTAAAATGAATTTTAGGTATTTTGAAACATTTTTTTAAAATAACAATTGTCTATTCATTTTTGAAAATATTTAAGCTGGATTTGATTACAAACTGAGATCAGATAGAGAACTAGTGAAAACCTAGTTACAATTAGATATTGTAAGTTATTTAAAGTGAACTAATTGAAATTAAAAATCAGAATCAATCAGTTATAATCAATGTAAATCATGGTATAAATGTGAGTTATTGTGTTAGTAGCCCCATTTGATATACGTCTGAATATTTCATTTAACTATTAACAGGTTTTCAATTGACGTACACTCATTCTCGGTTTATTTGCATCATATTTAATCTTATATTTTATACAATTGACTATCTAACTGAACGTCTAAATAATCTGCATTGTGTTTGTTTGTCGTGCTGATTATATATATGCATATACTTCCTGACTGTTTAGAGTTGCTCTCTTATTAATCCTACAGGTTGTTTATGATATACATTTCTATAAATCTCCCTATTTGACTCTTAGTTTTGCGTTATCTGTGAGTGTTAGATGCTTTTAGATCACCAAAGATTGAGTGGCAAAACAAAATAATAGCTTTGGAATTCAGGTCAAACCCCAAAGGGTCACCTCAAAAAGCCAAGTTCACTAAATCACATTAATAAGACAAGATCATGTAAGCAAGATAAATAGCAAACATGTCGAATTAGAAATAGTAGTGGTAATAGTAATGATTAGGTGTTGTGCTCATTACAAAGTAGAAATATCTTAGACTCTATCAATTCTAGCTACAGGTTCATATTAAAATTGGCTTCAAATTTTGAATGAAAATAATGTTTCTGTTTTAAATGATGAGAAACTAACATTACCTCTGGGATTGGTACCCCGGCCACCTAACTTCATAGTACGAGACATTATCACTTATCTTTTCAAGTAGGACTGACAGATATAACATAAATTACCACCCAGTCATTAATCAGTGTGAATATCTCAGTCCTATAACTAAGTTGAACAAATGTATGTCGTATGGCTTAGACAACTTGCAATTGATATTGTAGTCTTAACGTAGTCTTTCATTGCTTCCCAGGTTTTCTACTAACCTTTTTTTATTTACTATGTAGTTGCAATGGAAATTCTCTTAATTTGATTTGAGAAATTGTCGGAATTCGTATAGCAACTACTTTTATTCATAAGTGTATACATATCTAACACTTTAAGTTTTAAATATTCAAGTAACCTTAGGTCAAACCAATATGGATACTATTTCAACAATTATGTGGTATCAGAAGGGGTTTTGTGAAGATTTTAGTAATTTCAGTTGTTGAGATCATGAGCCAATTGAAGCTAGACCATCATGGAAAACCTGGAAGCACTGGACGGCCGTTTCGTCCTATTGTTAGACTCCTCAGCAGTGCACATCCACACCCCACGATCCGAACACAGGATCTATCAGTCTCGCACGCGAGCGCTTAACCACTAGACCACAGAGCCGACCGGAACCCAACGATGTTAATGTCTAACTTCAACAAATCCACGAAATTGAGAGACACATACACTATTGTCATCAGTGAGTTACTATCTCATAACTGACCCGGTTGAACTCCACTAGTCACTGCTTCTCACTAAACTCCAGGATATACATCTTGAAGCCAGTCACTAGTTAGTAAATGCTGATTAGTATCAGAAGGGGTTTTGTGGATATTATCGTAATTATGTGGTGTCTAAAGATTGAAGACTTATTTTTCTCGCTCCTGTTCTGTATATCATCAAATGTAGTAGAAAAATATGAAACTCTATTTTGTAAGAGAAAATAATCAACCAATTATTTTCAATATCAAGCGTATACATTGAGTTTATTTTATCCCAATGGGAATTTCATAATAAAATTGAACTTTCATCCTCTAACATTAACGATTGAAGTATGATTCGAAAACACTATTCAATTACTATATTAATTGAAAATCACTGTTCATAAGTGATTCTGTTGGATTCTTCATAATGGTGTGTCAGGTACCCCATAAGAATATCAATACTTAGATGCAAGTATATTCAACAAACGAGTCCCGAATACAATCAAACAAATGTCCATCATCTTAATCCAATAGCAGTTCATCTATTGTACATAATAATATATAATTCATACAAACACCACATCTGCCACAGCTTAAATGAGAATCCAAAATTCTGCAGTCAATTGTCCCTCTTCTCCTTAGGTTCATCGTGCCTGTCCGATCGTGTACTGAATGTAGACTCTGTATGATCTAGAATATGCTCCTAAGTATTAGGATTATCAACCAAAATTGAAACGAACTCACCTGGGTCCTGGGATTGTATACAAACACCATGTCGGTTGTGTAATGAAACCACTGATATCTAGAATTCGAATCATAGATCATGGATCATGGATCTTCATATCCCCAAGTTATGAATGTTGTGGCTTCATTTAAAACATTATTCTCATACTGACTAGAGTATTCATTAGAAGTGGCTTCATGATAAGGAGAAACAACAGTTGATATGAAATCATCAGAGTTGTAATCAAGATCGAGTTCATTTAGGACTCGTGCTTTGCATTGAACAAGTTCTCTACAAGAAACAAATGCATTGTGAGGAAAAATAACATTTGATATGACATCAAGATTTGAGTTTTCTGAAATGTTTTCCTCACATTCATTAAGAATGTAATTGGAGGGTGATGGATCCCTCGAAAAATCAGAATATATCAAAACTGTATCAGGTTTTCGATCATCATTTGATTCAGTCAACATGTTTTTCTCAAATTTGTAAGAAATTTCATCAGAAATATGTGAAACATCAGAACAAATCGTATCTGGTATAATAACATGAGAAATCTGATAAGTTGATTGATTAGAAACTTTTGTTTCACAAGGATTCTGAATTTCATTTAACTCTGGTTTGTTATATGACCCTATACTACTTTTCGAAGTCGTCGTTAAAGATAAATGATCATTAGCAGCACTCAACTTAATAGGACCACAATAACGAATTCTAGCATTAGTTTCAGCTAAATGAACCGTATCCAATCTTACCACATTTAAATCATTTAAAATTACGAAATACACAGAAATTAAATGGGCGAAACCTGTCACAGGACAAACATTGACAAAACTTGTGTCCATCTTCGTCAACTGTATCGCAAGTCAATGAATCATCTGCGTAACTTTGAGTACGCACTGGATTGGGATGACGTAATAATGTAGTGGAATTTTTGATGTCCTGATGAATCATTTTACTAAAATTTCCTCCTTTACCGCATTCGAAATTTGTATAATTGGCATAGTCTAGCAATAGTTCCTTGAGAATTGCATAAGAAAGCGAAACAGACTTTTCTGGTAAAGCCAGAATTTTTAATAAGCTGTATGCTTCTTTTCCGATGAATGTGAGTAAATGTGCCATAATATTAACATCCTCAACATCTTCCTTGATCATAATCCAGATTTCGAATCTTTCCAAGTAATCCTCAAAAGCATCGAAATCGGAATGTATGTCCAACCATTCCATCACATGCTTCATCGCAACGCCAGTGTGATAATTAGAAGTATTTGAATTATAATACAAACCAGGAATCCCACAAAATAACGCAATTTCACCAAGAAGTATTAGATAAGCACGAATGAACGTATTGTATTTGGTATTTGAAATCAAAACAGTCAACAAGTACAAAAGATTCATTAGTTCATACAAACACTACAAAGATCCAGTATTTCATGTGATGGTTTTGAAGGTGTTGGTAGATTGAATTTGTAATAATTCTACTATAAAAGTCTCTTATTAGTTTTATTTCTATCGTATGTAGTTCTCATAAAAGTAGTTTGATCATATTACCAACTCAATGATTCTTTCTTTTTATATATAATTTTTCTAGATTGAAGTTGCGACAAGAAATCGATTTGAAAAATCTGATTGGTTCAAAACATTCTATCGTCCAAATGCTGTTGTATCAGCTGCATTATTCTGTTATCCAAAATGTTCAGCTATTATGTGTAATCTTTCTGGCATATTCATAATTCTAATATTTCTATGCTCATTTATTCATTATTTATAACAAAATGAGGCGACTCTATTCAACTTTTGATGTTAATTCCATGTATTCAAAAGAAAGACAACAAAAATAAATGTCATCAGTCTCAAATACACTTACATTGTCCAATTATACATGAGTGTATTCAAGAAGTGGTAATGTTCCTTTTTGTTTTTGCATCAAGTTCATTTTTGAATATTTCAAACATAAACCTTTTTTTTAAAAAAAAACTGTATTTCAAGCATTTAATTTTGAGAAGAAAAAAAAGAAAGGAAAAGTACCCAAAATACCGAAACAAATAAAATTCATTTATCATGTAAAATATAAAAACTCACCTGAAATAGTTCTATATAAGGGAATCAGCATTCTTTATGTTAAGCATTTATTTTATCTATATTAAGCATGCTAATTTTAACCAAAAAAAATAATAATAACCCCTTGAAAATTTTAATTTATTCTTATTTTTTAACCAGAGTTCTTTTTTTTTGTTGTTTAGCGTATCTTTTATCATTTACCATTATTATTAGTATAGTTGAGCAACTGTTTCATTTTTTTTGTATAGATAAGATTTGAGTAATAAACATTTAACTACTGACTAGTAGTATGGATCATTGAAGTAAATTTATAAGTAGTTATTAAAAGTTTCTGTTTGGTAACTGGAAAATCCATGTCATTTTTGTTCTTGGTCTTTTTGTTTTTTGGAAAAAAAATTGCAAGTATAAATGATTGATATCATTGTTTATTCACTTTCTTAAGCTCCAGGATTATTTTTCTCGCTTTATGCATAACTTTTCGTGAACTCTTTCTTATTGAAATGTACTCTGATTATGGGTAATCCTAGAGTTAGCATAATAAAAATATTTCAATTTTTTAGTCATATTGCATTAAATTCATCAAATTTATGAATTGCCAAGCAGTTTTATTCTTTATCTTTGTAGTCAATGATTAAGAATAAATGAAATAAGTAGGAACTATAAAACAATCGTTCCTGAATATGTATTTAAATAATTGAATTAACTAACATGTACAGTCGTACTAAACAACTAAAGTACAATAGAAATGACTAAACGAAGTTGAACTGAAATGATGTTTCTTTAATGTAGATGAGTGTGTATTGATGTTTATCGAAGCTTTATGGAAGTTTTTTTAAACGATGTGTTAAATCATTTGGCTTCTTATAGTTTCCATAGTATTCATTTGTTTTCACTGATTTATGTGAGTGTATATTTAATGTTCCGACTGGTTAGACATAAATGCACAGTGTTAAATGAACCAGTTAATAGTACTGTGTTGGTTTTGCGGAGATAAATTACTCAACATTAGCAATAAATTAGTCTGTGGATCTATCAAAAACAACATATAATCTATAAACGGATGAGGTTGTGTAGACTCAAAAGTGCCATGAAAACATTTGAATGGAAGGGCAACAGAAGATGTAAAGACCTATCATGTTAAGCTACTGTATTGCATGAGCTGTAAACTATATTTAGATTTTTTATTTTGAACTTTCTTTGTCAATCGTCATTAAGATTTGTATGTTAGGTGGTTCTTCCTAGTTAGTCTGCTGCTGACGTTTTTGTGGGAAATACATTAAATCATGAAAGTTCCAGATGTGGCCTTCTGATAGCGTATTGTTAGCAACAGATGTTCAACGTTACCGGTCACAGAAGGTATACGAAATTTTTTTGAATCGTTCTCTATGCGATTCTGCATCTCACATTAAACTGTTATTGACACAGACACCACACTGACTTTCAGGTGGTAATTTTTACGCTCTACACTAAAGACAGTTAACCATATGATAGTGTTATTTTCCATATTTCTAACTCGATGTTCAAGAATATATGGATTACATATAAACTCGAGTACAAAACTTCGTGCATGTATATTTAGGTGATGGTACCAACTAACAAGTGCAGTAATAATGATCGGGATCAAATCTTATTATACAATTCAGTGGACAACTAGACTGGAATAATACTAGAATTAGAATTAGGCCTCTCTTTCAATAACCGCTCTAACATCTAGCGTACGCAAATGCGTCTCAACTGCTTAAAGTGTCGCCTAGTCTTTGTGTCTTAAATATATAAAGACCACAGTCACACGTGACCGTTTACAAGTGCAGAAATCATGTGGTGGTCAGTCTCAACAGAACTTGTCAACTCACTTTTAATAACAAAGCACCAAGTGAATGGGCAAACCACTCATTTCCCCTTTAACAACGTAGGAGAAGTAAGAGAATAATTAGGTGGGATTAAATAAATATGCTCCCAGTTGAATTAGAATATCATAGTTCTAACAGAAAAATGGTCCATGAATATAAGACAACGAAGTGGTCATGCGAGACATGACGTTTTCCAATGAAATAAAACATAAAAGATGGAAAATGGAAATAACTGAACATGCTGAAGTTGCTTTACCGCAGACAACACAAGGTACTTGACTGAACAAAAATACTGGCACCCCACAGGTTCTAACGCCCAGAAGTTATTTATTTGTCTGAACACATAAAGATTGGTATAAGAGGGCATCAAATATATATACACCACATAATAATAATGAAGCCAGTAGCACTTATTACTAATTTGTATGAGGGCTGTGATACTGTCCGGGTGCCCAATCAAAAGTAGTTAGGTTTGTAAAGGAGCTAATCTTCAAACTTTTGACCTTCGTGTTTAATCCACAAAGCAGTGAAGCGACGTTAGGAGAATAAGTCTCATGCTATTTTGTGGCCAACAATATGGTCATACAACACTTGCTCCCACGTGAGCCAATGACTTGGAATTGTGGCTTTCCAACTCAACTTGGTGGATCCTCTGTACACACAACCAAGTTAAATCATCGGACATCCGCTTTTCGTCCTCTCAGTTTCGTCAACAACACCACCCCACAATGAAAAAGCAGGGTGTAGAACTTCCGTGGATGTGGCTGTATACTAGTGGCTATGTGCAGGCCTTTTGTGAAGGAGGTCGAACTCTCTCCACCCTTGGCCATACCAGGGCATTTGGAGGCAACGCCTTAAAAGATAAGATAACAGAGGTGGTATGACAACTATCACATCCAGTGTTCGACTAGGTACTAATAGCTTGATTTTTCACATTCCATCGCTCGATCTCAATACACGGAATACAACTTCCACTGAGTGAGCCTGTCGGGGCTAAGTTCCCTTATATCTGACTCCAATAAATAGTATCCAGTTAACTCAGTATTTAATGCAGGCTAAATCTCCTAGTGGAATTGTGGATTTACTAAAGAGATTATTCAAAGGCTTGAACATCAGTTATAGAGGCAGTTTATTGTTAAAGATTGGTAAAATCCACAAGTATATAGGAAGCAAGCACATAGTGTGAGTGTTAAAATCCATATATATTATGAGTGATAATCAAGTATGTATAAATTATTGATTTTCTGTGTAATACAACCAATGGGAGAATAGATTAAAAATTGATATATGCTCAATCAGACTCTCTTACATGGTGCATTAAGTGTCTAAACTACAGTGAGCAGATAAATAATGGACTAGTCGAATGGACCTACTACAGCCCAATTAGCGACTTTTCACAGCCATTAAAAGTTCGAGACTGACTAAACATGTGGGCGACTACACTGAATGTGGTATTGACGGATATACCCAAAGATCATACTGTTTACGTACAACCAGCTTCCATCAGCTTCTAGTCGACTGTGTCCATGATCAAGTACCAAAAAGAAGTGGTAACCACAGAACTATCCTATTTAACCTCATCACAAACTATATGCTTCTGAGGGACATGAATACTCCCATATTTTCTACGACTATAAGGGAGTGCCTTTAATAGCCGCGATTACCAAAAAGTGGTGGGGGCTAACAATGAATGACCAATAAGAGGTAATGAAGTATATTATCGTACAAACTGTGGTTCAAATAAAATGCACACCTGTAAAGGGGTGACCCTGGCTGAGGAGAGGAATTGAATGCTTGCCACAGCCGAAACTGAGAGACTACCGCAAAGGGAAATTTTCTCTGAAGGATTCTGACAGTAACATTGAGAAACAGATGCGATACCAAGGCTTGGAACGACAGGAAGCACTTCGTGACTAATCCAGCAGCCGAAGTATAGACCTAACTAAAATGTTTCGATGTGCTTATGACTTAACAAAAACCTACAAATCAGGAAGTATTTGCCCTTGCAGAATTCTTGTCTACTTCAATATTAGTACTGCTCCAACAATACACCTAATCCTAAAATTGTAGATTTGTCATGATGTAACAGCCTAATCTATAAGATCTTACGTGGAAGTCACATAATTGTCTACCCTGACTCATTGTATTATAACAATCATCAAAATATGATGAAGGACACGTTTAGGCTAGAGATAGGACAATATTTCTTCTGATAACATAGGACTACCGCTCAACGATATGTTTGACAGATTCACTGTTCGGTGAATTTCTTAACGTTTTTATTTCTCTTGAAATAAGATAACAATCTCATACTTGATGTTGAAAGAAAACTCACTTTAGCTGAGTAACATTTCGAAAAAGACCTTTATCGGTTGCTAATACACGTGATGAATATGAGAGAAAATTATCTAGGTTGTGTTTAATCATGATGAAGACGGCGGAAATTTCTTACTGGAGTCTGGATTTACTTGTTTAACTTGCTCACAACAGCAGTAAAAATCCTTGGAAAGGTCGCGCTAATCGTGAACTTCTACCTTTCGTATGGCTTTGTGTTCAGCAGCTTATGTTTTTGTAAGTATGCTACCCATAACAACTGATTTTTTGCTTTTGGATAAAAGTAGTTGCCCAAAAAATATTTTTCATAAGTAGGCAAATCTGTTTTGTAATAGAGATGATCTATTTAGTGAACGTATACTTTCACAATATATGTCTGAATGAACATACGTTTGTCTCTCATCATAAACCCTTAGGGTTTTGTGGTGAGTTGACATATCTTGGTAATATTTTTACCGCTATGTTTTACAAACAGCCTTGCAATATTCCGTCCCAAGTCATATGCAAATGCTAATAAAGTTTGGACAGATCGTATAAGCAAGTAAATGAGTCTGGTTATGTAGTCCGGTTCGTGACAAAATCCTTAAGTGCATCACAAGAATAAAACGTTACTAACCAAGATTCAAATAAAATTTATTTTTATCAATAATACTCGTCAAACTGCCTCTAACAAATAAGCGCTCTATGACTTATCTATTCCAAAACCGACTTATTTAGTTTTACTTAATAAGTGTTCTCTGTGCACTTGTACTCAGCTTTTGATATAACCCGACATTTATCAGAGTTTTAAAAAAAGCATTGTGAAACGACACATGCGAGATTTTGCGTCATGTTTGCCTGCTTAGTTCTGAGTCTATTTGATTATACCATTTCTAGGAACTTTTATAAACCAATATTTATCAACTCGGTACTGCTATTTTATATTCCGGATCTCTACATTACAGACTTATCGCCTTTCCACCTTCCATAACAACCCAAGTTGACAAATACTACGCCATATGGAAGTCCTCAGATTGGTATACGTAAAACAAATTAAGGTCATCTAAGTCAGTACTTTGAGACTGTATCACATTGAATCATCACTTCCACCTAACAAACATATACAATAATACTCGTTTCATCTAAAAACGTTATCATATTCGAGCAGTCGTCAATTGTTATAACGATCAGGTTTCCACTTTAACACGTATGGGACGTTAATTTACCTTAAACGAATATCTATACCAGATTCCCTCTCAGTTTCCATTCTACAGGACTTCAACACAGCTCAGATCAAGAAAATGTGTTTAGTCTGACCACAACGTAAATATATTTCCACACCCTAGCCCGAAACAATCCAACAACAATGAACAATCAATAATAAGTGAGTAATAATAATAAGGATAGGGGAATATATAACTCATCTGACACCTGTCAGGCTACCTACATGTCTGACTAAGCAGACAACCAATGATTATCATTCTCGCCCACACCATTAATAGACAGCGATTTCAAATTACTAATTTGTCGAATATCCTTTGCTTAGCGAATTCCGGTCACATAGAAACAGGTATGTTGTACGCCCGACTATTCCATCAATGCTTACGTTACAAAAGGTCAAGTATGTCCTGTATTCTCGCAAGCAGC